TTTCTCTTTCTGGGGCTCTACCGACTGCTGAGACTTTCCCTAAGCAACCTTTGGGAAGGCTCCATCTTGTTTGTTTATTTTGACTCATGTATATGTACATATTTGTAGCTTATAAATATTAATAAATAAGCTTTGCTTCATTTCAACGTATTGTGTTAAATACACCAAAGCCTTCTTCAGAAAGTTCTCTGAATTTTTTCTTTTGTTGAAACTTGTATTGTTGAAGCTTTGTGAGTGAAGCATGTAGTTTAAGGTAGTGTTCCCTTAATTTCCCGAGTGAGGAAAACTTCTCGGTTGGAGACTTGAAAAATCCAAGTCACTGAGTGGTTGTGAGACTTCCGAGTATCAAGGTGCAGTAGCATATGGTGGGAGTCCCCCAAGTCTTCAGGCGAGGAGAGTTGCCGAATGAGGTGTCTTGCTTGCTACTAATTTGTCAAAGTAACGAAGCCTTGTTTTGATGTCACACCTTCATATATGCCTTATCCAAAAATATTTCAAGCTGGTTTTAGCTTTGTGAGGGCCCAAAATTTTTGTGTAGACCAAAACTGCTCATTTGTTTTCAAGCCCACGAAAAGAGGGGATCCAGTGCCTTTGTTCATTTTTTCTTTTGCTTTGCCTTTTCCTTTCTTTGCTGGAAAGGTTTTCTTTTCCACTAAAAATCTGAATTACTCCAAAGCCATCTTGAAGGAAATGTGGGTGTTGGAGCCAAGGAAGTGAAGGAGGGAGTAAATGTAGAGGGAGCGGTAGCTCTTCAATATAACACCATTCTCTGTAGCTCAAATCACAAGGTTGTCTTCATGAAAATTGTTCCTTAGCTTGTGAACTACAACATATCCAAATTTGAGATCCATCGGAGTAGTACAACTCCAGATATTCAGGTATGATGAGTGACTGGTCATCATTTTTCTGTTAACCCGTCAGACTTATTGTGAGCTTCAAAACTTCATTTTCTCTTGTTCAGATCAACATACTTTCTTCATCGAAGTTGTTCCTCATCATCTCTTCCATAACATATCAAAAATTTAGAACAAACTAACAGTTGAATATTTCCAGATCTTCGAAACACCGCAGCAGCTTTGAAGCTTGCAGAAATCTGACCGTCATGTTTGGGGCTTCAACACTCTAACTTCCGTCGCTCAAATAGAAACATTTCCTTCGTGAACGTTGTTCATCTGCTCAAGAACTATAAGATGTCCAAAATTCAGCTCCACTGAGGAAGAGCAGGAGTTGCAGAAATTTGATAGATGGAAAGAGGCGGATGAGGGAAAGGGAGAAAAAGGTTGCTTGGGTTGGATTTTATATAATTGTATGTCTGTTTATGATAGGGATATTGCGGATGTAAAACAAAAAATGTTTGTGTTTACTCATGTGTTGTTGTACAAGTTCAAGAGAATCTTGGTTTTGTGAACAAAATTTGTTTATTTGCCACAAGGTTTTGTGTTTGGAAAATAGTTTAATAGGTAAGGTTTATTGACTATAGATTTTTGCTTGGGTATATAGCGTGACTAGGTGAAGCTATTTTTAGGACACAAAACTTGAATTAGCTTCGCACTATCTTGATGAAAAGTGTGTGAAGCTTTTATATGTTTTGGTGTTGAAATTTTGTATTGTAGATGAAGCTTTGGGGTTGAAGCTTGATAGGTGAAGCTTTGGGGTTGAAGCTTTATAGGTGAAGCTTTGGTCTTGAAGGGTTGAAGCTTTATAGGTGAAGCTTTTGGTGTTAAAGCTTTATAAGTGAAGCTTTGGGGTTGAAGCTTTATAGGTGAAGCTTTATAGGTGAAGCTTTTGTTGGCACCATAGATTGATTTTGCTTCACACTATCTTGATGAAGATAGTGCGAAGCTTTTGAGATTGAGATGTGTCCTCCATTGATAAAGCTTTTGTCGGTGTGTCTCCGGTATACCATGGTGGACTCAAAGAGATTAAGGTGTTCAATCGGGTCTTCCCTTCCAGTATAGAGTTGTAAGTCAAGTTTCTACTTTGTCTTCGCTTAGAGGGGGGTGTTGATGATCCTTCTTGTGAGGGGGCCAGGCCTGGGTGGGTTCCAGTCAGGTATCTCGGCTTAACGTTCAACCTTCAACTTGTTTACTTCCTCCAAGAGTTGTAGGACAAGGGGATCCTGAATGGAGTCGTGCACCACTGAAGTTTTCTTTCATAAGTCCCCATCGCCTCTTGGAAGTAGGAAAGTTTGATCAAGATAACGTGATTTTTCCTTGGACTCGCCACACTGACTCCTAGAGTGAGTATGTCGGAATATTTCCGAGTCCCCTGTACCTTCATGTTCTTCTGGGACTTGTTGCCCATTCCCTAGATTGGCTGCTGGCCTGGGTCGTGGAAGAGGACCGAGTCTTTCAGAAATTCTTGGGTCATTGATCTTCGAGCTTATGTGGATGAGATTCTCTCGACGTTGCTTTAGGAAGTCTCGATAATCGCGATAGACGGCTTTTGATCCTTCCACTCCCTCTGTGAGGAGGTGTTTTCCTCTACTTCTTCTGCTTCGGGTTGAAGCAGCTGGGTTGAGAGAAGTCTCATGTTGATTATCACATTGATGTGTAGCTCGATCCCTGTCAGGGATGTCCGTGTTGGATATCGGTAACCCTCCGTGTTGGGGGGCATTTAGATGATTGTTGACCTCAACAGGGGCGACGAGCTTGTGTGTTTGAGCATGCCTAGCCTCGTGAAGCATCTCGAAAAGTTTTTCATATTGTTCCTGGAGGACCTCATTCTTCATCACTATCTTGTTGTTCTGAACCTCTAGCTCATCGACTTTAGCTTGAAGAGTAACTCTATTTTTTTCCTGCTTTCGTTGCTTCATACTAGGTCCAAGGGGGGTGTCATTTTGTGTGCTATGGCTTCTTTCGCTCCCCATGTCGGAGAGATGCTTGGCCAAAAGAAAGTGTACGAGCGGTGGAAACCAGCTTGACAAAGCTGAAGAGAGTGGGAATAAGTGTCGTTCCCACAGACGGTGCCAAATGTTGATGCACAAAATCAGTGAAGACTTTGGTACAACAGAAAGTGTCAGGTTTTGTGACCTTCGCTTGGTTGCTTCGGTCACTAGTGAGGATAAGTATGTAAATGAATAGAGACAGAGAAGCAAACACAAGATATACATGGTTCACCCAGATTGGCTACGTCCACGGAGTAGAGGAGTTCTCATTAATTGTGAAGGGTTTACACAAATACATAGGTTCAAGATCTCCTTTTGTGAGTTCTAGTGAATAGTTTAGTACAAAATGACATTAGAGATTATTGTGGGAGAATGATCCCTATTTATAGAAGAGAGTTTCTAGTTTTGTTCTGACATTGACACGTGTCGTGTTGTGATTGGCTTCTGATGTTGACACGTGTCGCGCTGTGATTGACTTCTGATGTCGACACGTGTCGCATTGTGATTGGCCTCCTGGTTGAAGGGAAGCTCTTCTGGGTCCTTGACGGTATAATGTTGACCGGTGCTCAGTAGTTTCGGGATTGATCAAGTATGGTACAAACAGAGACCATGTTAAATCTGCAATATTTTATTGTATGTGATGTAAAACTAGAGGGTTTCAGCGATAAAATGCTGGAGCTAATCGTAGCAGCTTAACAAGAATATTTCATTGGATAAAAAAGCTTCACTACCGAATAAAGACAACTACTTAGCGAGCAATCTGAGCCCTTCAATCTAAGAAACTAATATGGTGCATACACTTGTCTTATGTAAGTCCACACCTAATTCACTAATAAAAAAATAATACTATACGTTACATTGTAGGATTAAACCAAATCTCATTTAGTTTCAAACGTTTAGGCCTTTTGAATAGTCAAATGATTTTATATAGGTTTTTTTTATTAAAAACAAATGATATTATCTATATTAAAGGGTAAATGAGTGTGATAAGTCTCGCAATGAGCTAATTGACTTCTATATGGGCTTTTAGACTTTAGGTATTATATAGGATTCTTTTTAGATTTTAACCTAAATGATTTTTTAAAATCTAATTTAAGTCCCTGTTTTTAAAACTTACCATATTTAAGTAAGGATTTTTTTCTTAACATCCCATATGTTGTTGAATACATCCCACATACAAAATTTATACAAAATAACTTGGAATGTAATATTTAATGACTATTCAAGCACTCACAACCACTCTCACTCTCCATTCTAGAACAAAACCCTCAAAACACAAATATGTTGATGAAGAGATATATAATTTTTTATGAATAGAACATAAAATCGAGTTTTGGCTCCCCGTTCATTGGTTGGTTTTCGCTTTTAGGAAATTATTTAAATAATGAAATATAAAATTGACTTTTTGTCAAGCCCTACTCTAATTGAAATCCAAAAAATAGGAAGAAAAGTGGAGGGTGTTGTAAAATTTAGATATAATTATATGTATTATTGTTGTGGCTATTTGATGATGAAGATGTTTCTTGGTTGGTTGGAATTGAAGCAAGGCCATTAGACATATAACCTTTCAAAGGAATTTGGAATTGGGTTATTTATCTTTCATAAAATGATGTATGTCGATTGGAAATTTTTAAACAAATAAATGTGTTCTTTTTACAAATCTAAAAACACAAATGGAAAAGCCATTTAAACAAACTGACATGTCCTTATAAGAACGGTAAGCGTTCTTACCGTTTGTCCATCAAATTTCCTAGAATCCAATGTGATTATTCAAGAAAATGTGAGAGAGTACTTTGATGTCTATATAAGTACAGGTACAAATGTATCCCACACTAGTTTAGGTATGAATGTATCCCACACAATGTAATTAATATTCGAAAATTACAATTAAATGCCAAGAAACTAGAGTTAGTTTCTAATTTTAGACAAGGTTTTATTCAAAAAGTAATCTTTTTCATGAAGTGGAATAGAATTTTCCGTTTTTCATAGTACACTTCGAAATGTAATGTGTATATTTATAAGTTGTTGAAAGATCATAACTCATAAGTCAATTAGAAAAGAAAAGTATTTCTTGAGATCCTTTTCTTCTAATTTAATTTGTATTCATCAGCAGGCATGGAGATTGTTAGTCTAATTGTCGGAATAGTTGACAAGTATGCAGTTGAACCAGTTATACGCCAAGTGGGTTACCTAACTCACTGCAGAAGCAAACTTGACAAACTACGGACTCAAGTGAACGAATTAAGTGCCGCTAGAGAGGGGCTAGCGCTTGAGGTTGTTCGAGCTGAAGAAAGAGGTGAAAAAATCCGAACTGACGTCCAGAACTGGCGGAAAGACGCGGATAAGATCACCGAGGTGGCGAACGAATTATGGAAGCCTGATACGCAAGCAAAGATGAGCTGTCTCCGTGGGGTTTGTCCAAACCCGGTGCTCCGTTACAAGCTAGGCAGGAGATCAACAAAGTTGAAGCAGGCGGTTGTTGAACTCTACGCAAAAAAAGATTTCGCTATAATTTCGGACAATGTCCGCCCACAAGATGTATCCGTGGTATCTGACAAACATTATGAGCCATTTGATTCGAGGACTTTAACTGTCAAGAAGATCATGGATGAACTGAGAATTCCTAATACCGACCTGATTTTGGTGTATGGTATTGGAGGCGTGGGGAAGACCACACTGGTTGAAGAGGTCCTTAGGCAAGCTGTAAAAGAAAAGTTATTTGCTGATGCGGTTATGGTAAGAAGTGTGCAAAATCCGGACCCTGAAGGAATTCAAAAAGAAATTGCCATAAAATTGGGTATGGAAGTTAAAGAAAGCGAAACTATGTCAATAAGAGCACCTCGTCTATGTGACAGGGTAAAAGACAAGAAAGTTCTTGTAATTTTAGACAACATTTGGGAAAGCATTGACTTGGAGGCGGTAGGACTTCCTTGTCTGCCGAATTGTAGAATACTTTTGACATCCAGAACTCGAAAACTGCTATCCTCAGAGAAGCGGTTGCAAAAAGACTTTGAGCTTCGAGTTTTAAACGAGAAAGAAGCTTGGCGTTTATTTGAGACGAAAGCAGGTGATGTTGTTAAAAATCCCGACATACGAACTGTGGCAACCGATGTAGCCAAAAAATGCGGAGGTTTGCCACTTTTGGTTGTCACAGTCGCAAGCTCTTTAAGAAATAGAAGTACTTTACCAGTATGGAAGAATGCCTTCAGTCGCCTAAAAGTGTTTGACAACGAAGACTCAGCCGGACAAGAAGCATACTGGGCCTTAGAGTGGAGTTACAATCAATTGGATGATCAAAAGCTGAAGTCACTATTCTTGATCTGTGGAATTGTGGTAAATCGTTGGGGACACGCTCGTCTGACAGACTTGTTGAAATATACAATTGGTTTGGGTTTGTTTAAGAACATCGATTCAGTGGAGGACGCACGATATGCATTGCACACGTGGATTGAAGAGCTGAAAGATGCTGGTCTGTTACTCGACTCCGAGGACAAAACATCAATCACGATGCATGATTTGTTATGTGATGTTGCCATCTCGATTGCATCCAAAGGCCACCGTGCCTTAATAAGAGCAAAAGGAGTCTTGAAGGAATGGCCAAACAATAAGGAATTTTCTGAAAATTGCACAATTATCTCTTTGTCTTGCACAAACATCCTTACGCTTCCTGAAGTTTTGAAATGCCAACAACTGGAGTTTTTTCATTTGTACTTTAATGGTGACTTGCTTGAAATCCCAGGTAACTTCTTTGAGGAGATGAAAGAGCTTAAAGTTATGGATTTAACCAATGCGCATATTTCGTCGCTGTCTCCGTCTCTTCATCTCCTACAAAATCTTCGGACACTGTGTTTGGATCATTGCGTGTTGGAAGACATAGCTCTAGTCGGACAGCTATCGCAACTAGAAATTCTCAGCTTTATAAATTCCGAGTTAGATTTGCCTGAAGAAATAGGGAAATTGACTCGTCTTCGACTGCTGGATTTAAGCCGCTGCTCTGAACTCAAAGTGATTTCACCTAATGTTATATCACGTTTGACAAGTCTAGAAGACTTGAGAATGGAAAATAGCTTCAACGGATGGGTGCCCGAAGGAGTAAGCGGAGAAAGAAGTAATGCTAGCCTTTCAGAACTGAAGGACTTGCCTCATTTAGCTGCACTAAGTATACATGTTCCAGATGCTGGCAGTATTCCGACGGACTTGTTCACTGACAAGTTAAAAAGATACCAAATATTAATCGGCACTCGTAGGCGGAAATGGTACGATGTGGATGAAACCCTCAACACATTGAAGCTAAAGCTCCCAACTGGCTGTGAATTGGACCATGGTCTAGAAATGTTGTTGAAGGGATCATGTGAAGATTTGTATTTGGATGGGTCGGCGGGAGCGGATAATGTTGTGCACCACTCAGGTAGTGAAGATTTTCAACAACTCAAGCATCTCCACGTCGAATACAATGCCCAATTTACACATATCATTACTGAAGAGGTATGCCACTGGTGTCATTCTTTCCCATTTACACATATATTTGATCATTTGAACTGGATCAGTTTTATCTAGTACCTATCAAGAAATATCTATTGGTACAATTTTTTTTATCTAAAGATACCATTTGACTAGATAATAACAATTAATGTGAATTTTCTTCTCTTAAAAATGGAATGTACAAATACTGCACGTTGTGTTGCCCAACTTAACAAGCTTGGTGGTGGATGGTTGTCATCGATTAACTTTTGTGTTATCGTCTTCCATGGCTAGAAATCTTGTACAACTTCAAAAACTTGAGATAACAGGATGTGAATCAATGGTAGAGATAGTTTCGACAAAAGAATACGGTGAAGAAAAAACAGATGTCATATTTTGTAAGCTACAACATTTGGAGCTAAGACGTCTTCCAAAACTCTATAGATTCTGCTCAGCAAGCTGTAATGTCCAGTTTCCGTTTTTGGAGAGTTTGGAAATTCAGAATTGTGGAGAACTGAAGGGATTTGTCTTTGATCCTAAACTTGAGACTGAAGAAGTATACTTTCTTTTTGACGACAAGGTAAAACTATTATACCATTGTATCTCTTTCATAGGTCATTATCTGATGTCTAATATATTCAGTTCGACAAAGAAAGAATTTAACAATTTCATAATTCGAATACAGGTAGGCTTTCCAAAGTTGGAGAAATTGTCCATCCGTGAGCTATCTATTTCGACTACAGTATGGCACAACAAACTTGATCCAGGCTCTTTTTACAAACTTAGAGATGTTGACGTTGGTCGCTGCGGTAGACTAATAAGCATCTTTACACCTAGTATTGCAGGGAGATTGAATGCTTTAAGAAGTTTATCGATAAGTGGGTGCGATCGTTTAGAGGTGGTTTTTGAGATCAAAGAAACACCAGACACGTCTACGACTCAATTGAAAATGTCTGGTTGTGAAAATCTAGATTCAGTATCGATAAATGAGTGTGAGAAATTGAAATATATTTTTCCATGCTCAGTGGCTAGAGGTCTTCAGCAACTACGAGTCCTGAGAGTGGATGGTTGTGATGGAATGGAGGAAATCGTTTCCAAGGTAGAGGGACTAGAAATGATGCCTAAGTTTGTGTTTCCAAAAGCAACAGAAATTGTATTTATAAATCTAGACCAACTTAAGAGCTTCTACCCAGGAATCCATGCCTTAGAATGGCCGCTACTCGAACGAGTGGAGGTGAGGAAATGTGGTAAATTGGATATTTTTGCCTCCAAAATTTCAAGTTTCCAGAAGCATGAGTTGGACGGTCCTTACACTCCAATTAAACACTCTCTCTTCTTAATTGACAAGGTAAAAATACATTACACAATTTTCTTAAACGAAAGTGAGCCTTTCAAGCTACTTCATAGAAGAAAAAAAATCTCCTTGTGTTATTATTTTTGTTGCCGTTCATCATTCTTGCGTTGGTAATATTTCAGGATGTATCATTCCCCAACTTGGAAACGATGGCCTTAGACAGAGACATGGAGATATGGTGCGGTCCATCCACATCACAGTTGTTTAGGAAACTAAAATCGTTGACGTTTGAGGGGGGCCAGAAAGTTTCTTTATTTGAGAATAATGTAAATCCAGATGCGTCCTTCCCACATATAAGTGTTTTGAAGCTTTACAAAATGGAGAAGTTGACGCATCTACGCAACGAGAATTTCCCAGGGGCAGGCCCAGTTTTTTCAAACTTGGAAGTTCTGCGAGTGGTGGTATGTCCAGAATTGAAGGATATAGGGTCATCTGCTATTCCCTTCAAGAATTTAACAACTTTGGTAGTAGTTGGTTGTCACAGCTTGAAATATTTAGCAACATATACGATAGCCAAAACTTTAAAGCGGCTAAGAGAAATGGTGGTTGGGAATTGTGAAAGAATGACAGAAATAGGGGCAACGACATCAGATGGAGATGATGCAGGAAATGATGGTGAGATTTCTTTTTGCCAGTTGCAAAGTTTGCAACTTTACCATCTACCAAGTCTGCAAGATTTCTTCTCTGGAAATTGCATTGTCAAATTCCCATCCTTGAAAGCTGTAAGTATATATGAATGCCCTAAGTTGAAGATCAACAGCTCTGAGTGGAAGAGTTCCCCAGAACTACAAAGAGTGCAGTTAACAGAGAATTAACAACTTTGCTGCATAGTTAGTTCTCTTGTTAACATGTTTGTTATTTCTGTGTGTAATGGTTTTGGGTTTTAATGAAGACAATTTTCTGCCCATTTTAAATTAAATTTTGAATAATTTAAAATATTTTTTTGCTTATGATTTTTAGTTTTCATAAGCTGGTGTATCCGCGCGTTGTTGCGATGTTTGAAACATTGTTGAAAGTGTAGAAAGTTCTAAATATGTATGTGCCTAAGAGTAGTGTGTATATTGATGGCCTCCAAGAACATCTTGACGCAACATTCTCTCCGCCAATTACATCTTCAAAATGAAAAAAAAAAATAAAAATTAATCACAAAATTAAGGTGCTTTTAGAGACATAAACTTAAGAACACAAAAAACTGAAACCTTTAGAAATCACATATTCTCAATCATATATCAAAATTAAATTCAACCCTTTTTATCGTTTTTCCCAAAAGATCAAACCTTTTGTATCAACATTTCTTTCTCTTTTGATTGTCATGGGACAATGAATCATTTTCTTTGAATAAATATAATCAAATTGATTGATATTAGTAAGACATGACCTATTACAAGAGGTTAATTCCAGTTCACAAATCATTCCTTTTTTTGGATATACGAAGAATGGGATTCCAGTAAGTTGACTCTTTTGAAATCTTTAATTCACTTTGATCCACGCCCACTCATTCCTTTTTTTTTCCTCTACTTTTTGCAGAGATATTTGTCTCTTAATAATATTGTACAAATAATCTATTCAATGTCAAACCTAAAAATGATTAGAAACTAAACTTCACGTGTTGAATTGATTAGAACTAAAAATTGGCAATATAGTGATCAAATGTTAATGATAAAGCAATAATACTTCAAAGATAAAACGATCAAACGTTAACAACACATTAAAAAAATCAGTCATTTGTACAATTGAGATTTGACTTTGAGAAAAGATCCGTTTGACCATTCTTTTAGGTCCAAGTACTATCAGTGTGATCTAAGTAGTGTTGGTTCTTGGTACAACTATTTGGGAATATAGAAACATTTTGTAAAACAGAGAAGGTGTTCAGCAAATACATAAAATTGAGTGAAATCGGAAGTTGAAACACGAAAGAAAACATATGAAGAAAAACCCCTAATTAGCATTGAAATTATTGAAAGCTAAAGGACAAACCAAAATCATTACCTTAACTTTGCTTTCTCCCATTAGAATTTTCTTTGCTTTCTCGCATAACATTCACAATAGTAACACCGCCTGAGAGTGTTATGATCACAAAATGATAAACAACTTACTAAACGGAAGTGATGGTTTGAATCTGGAATCAATGCATACCTGAAAAGCTGATTTAAAATTGGTTATGCCTTTCCCATGCTCGTAACATTTATTTGCAATCAGTAAAATTTTCCTGATAAGGGGAAAGCTAGGAGAGTAAGTTATAAGCAAAGTTGACAGACAAAACAGATCGATGCACATATATATATATATATATATATATATATATATATATAGAGAGAGAGAGAGAGAGAGAGAGAGAGAGAGAGAGAGAGAACTTACATCAGCTGTGCTTGAATAGACATTGGAAAACCACTGTTACTAAACTACAGTGTTTTTCCTATGGGCCAATTTAGTCTCTAAATTTTTTCTTTTTCCGAAAAATTAAACTAAAAAAATCTGAGAGTTACATCCCTATTATTAGATTTGAAATTGTAATACACGTATTTAAAAAAAAATGTGTGCATATATAAATATATGTATGTATCATAGTATTTTTAATTTGTGCTTTACTCTAATATTTAATCTACCAAATTCTTTTCTTGGTTAGTTAACTAATACATGTAAGAAGAATGAAGTGGAAAATAGTGGTCCAAGTTAAAAGGATATCAGTGGGTAACTAATGCCACTTGTCAAGATCCTATAAAGGCTGGTATGTTAGTTAGAATCTTGGTGGTTAGAGATATAGTTAGTTTGAATAAGGAGATAGTTAGTTGACATAAGGAGGTAGTTAAAAAGAGGTTACTTACTGTGTAAGATTCAGTTTTAGAAACACTTATATAAGTGTGAATTGTAAAACAACATAGTATGATGAATCAAATACATTTTACATCTTTCATTTCTCCTCAATAGTTTCATATATTTTTCTGTTCTTCTAAAAGCTTCATACATTCTGCTATCTTCATATGGTATCAGAGCCAGGTTATAGATCCGGTGCTTCCGCTCAATCTTAATCACATTTTCTTTCTCTTCTACACCCTCTAGTTTGAATATTTGTGTGAGTTTTGGCATCCGGAAATATACGAGGTGCTTCGACAGTTGGTTTCTTTTCGTCTGCCCACCATCTGTTTGATTAAACGTCTCAGTGAAAGTGTGTTTCCAGAATTTGCGAAAATTGTTACAGCTGCTCAATTGCAGATTGTTCAGTCACCCATCACCAATCTTCTCTCCACAATCTCTACTTCAGTCACAGTGAAATTGGATGACTCCAATTATCTTACTTGGAGTTTTCAGGTTCGGTTGCTTCTGGAAAGTCATGGAATAATGGGATTTGTGGATGGTTCAAGACAGTGTCCATCACGTTTTGATAATGACTCGAATGCTGAAAGAGTCGAAACCGATGACTACCTAGTCTGGAAGATGCACGATCGTGCATTAATGCAGTTGCTTATTGCTACACTATCGTCGATTGCCATGTCCTGCATCATTGGGAGTAAAATTTCTTGTGAGATGTGGCTCAATCTCACCGAAAGGTTTTCTGCTGTTACGAAGGCTACAATCTTTCAGATGAAGACAGAACTTCAGAACATCAAGAAAGGGTCAGAATCTGTGTCGGTTTATCTTCAAAAAATCAAAGATGCCAGAGATCATCTTGCTGCAGCTGGGGTAAATTTTGATGATGATGATATTATCATCCTAGCGTTGAAAGGTTTATCTGTAGATTTCAACACATTTCGATGTGTGATCAAAGGAAGAGAAAATGGGATTTCTCTCAAAGATTTCTGGTCTCAACTATTGGCTGAAGAAGCTATCATTGAGCAATCTTTTGACAGTACCTCTGGGGTGCCATGGTTGCTAGCACTCAATCCGATAAAGGAAAAGCTCTTGTTCTCGATCAAGATCAACCAAGGTCTTCTTCTGATCAATCCTTCAAGTCAACTGGAGGATCAAGTTCAGTTAATCATGGACATGGAAATGGGCCATATCACAATTTCAATGGTGGTTATTCTACCTATGGAGGCAATAAAGGGAATAATTTCAGAGGCAAAGGCAGAGGAAGATTTCAATATACTAGTGGTCCAAGATTTTCAAATGGTAATCCTGGTATTCTTGGTACTCCCAAACCATATCAATCCCATTGTCCAAATCATCCAATTGACATTCCTATTTGTCAAATATGCAATAAAAAGGGCCATATTGCTGCAGACTGTTTTCAAAGGCATACTACTCCACCCTCGAGTACTCCTACTCCTACTCAATGTCAAATTTGCTGGAAATACGGGCACACAGCAGTTCAATGTTATCACATGAGTAATTTTGCGTATCAAGGAAGGCCTCCACCTGCTACTCTCTCTGCGATGCATGCCAACTATCAACCTTCAGCACCATCTGACCAGTTTTGGATTGCAGACACTGGTGCTACATCACATATGACATCTGAGTTGGCAAACTTGGAGCTGCCTACACCATATCAGGGCACAGACACCATTACCACTGCAAGTGGTGCAGGTTTGAGTATTTCCAGTATTGGTACTTCTAAATTAGTGGTTCCAAAACACTCTCTTACACTTCGGAATGTTCTACATGTTCCCAAACTTGCGCAACACCTGTTATCTATATATCAACTCTGCAAAGATAATAGATGCAGATTCATTTGTGATGATGTTTCTTTTTGGATTCAGGACAAATCCACAGGGCAGATCCTATTCAAGGGGCTATGTAGAGCTGGTTATTACCCTATACCATTCAACATTTCACAGAAGACATCATCTATCACACCTGCATTACATTCCTGCTTTCTTGCAAAACCAATTCAGTCCAGCATTTGGCACAAACGACTAGGACACACATCCAATGCAATCACTTCTGCAATTCTACATCAGTGTCAAGTTCCTACATCATTAGATCCCTGTTCATCGATCTGCACACCATGTTTAGAGGGCAAATTTACCAAGTTACCATTTGATTTTCCTGTACACAAATCTGTCATACCATTGGAAAAAATACACAGTGATGTATGGGGACCTGCCCCTTTACTTTCTTATGAAGGTTTTAGATATTATGTAACCTTCATAGATGATTGTACTCGATACACATGGATTTTTCCATTACGAAATAAATCAGAAGTGTTTGCAACCTTTGTTCATTTTCATGCCTATTTGTGTACACAATTCTCTGCTATGGTTAAAGTTTTTCAATCTGATGGGGGTGGTGAATTTACAAGCACTAAGTTTCAACAATATCTATCACAGAATGGTATTTTACATCACAAATCTTGTCCTTACACACCTGAACAGAATGGATTGGCAGAACGCAAACATAGACACATTGTAGAAACTGCACTTACACTTCTTCAAACTGCAAAAGTGTCAACCCAATTCTGGTTTCATGCATGTAGTACTGCTTCTTATTTGATTAATAGGATGTCGTGTGCTACTTTACATATGCAGTCACCATTTCAAAAATTATATAACAAGGTTCCTGATATAAAACATCTCAGAGTTTTTGGTTGTGCATGTTTTCCACTCTTAAAGCCTTACAACACTTCTAAACTTCATCCTAAAACTGCAACGTGTGTGTTTCTAGGATATGCAGGTCAATATAAGGGGTTTCTTTGTCTTAACATTGCCACTAGTAAAATTCTTGTGTCTAGGCATGTATTATTTGATGAAAATAGCTTTCCATATTCCACTTCCAATATGTGTCCACCATCAAAATTAGTGTCTGCCTCATCTCCATTGTATGAATCTCATGCTCACATTCATTCCTCATCTGTCACACCTATCATTACCTTAACCAATCAAGCATCTACACCTTCATCTCATTCATTATCATCTCGAACTACACACTCCTTGTCTATGCATTCATCTAGTGCCTCAGATTCTTTGTCTGCATCTAGAGCCTCAGATTCCTTGGAAACAGTTGAATCTAGTGCTCCAGAATGTGTTTCTTCTCCCGCCAATCATATTCCTTCATCACATATATCGTGTGATCCTGCAGTCCACCTAACTAGCTCCACAACACAACACCCTGTCCCTGTGGATCCTGATTTTCAGCAGGAGCATCTAAGTGTTGTTCTCCCCACACCTATGAATATTCATCCTATGCAAACCCGTTCTAAGAATGGGGTGTTCAAAAAGAAAGCTTTTGCTGCTACTACTATGTTAGAACCCAAAACATTCAAATCTGCTTCACAAGTTTCAGAATGGCAGGTGGCAATGCAAGAGGAAATAAATGCTCTTCACTCTCAAAAGACTTGGTCTTTAGTTCCATTACCACCTGATAAGAACTTAGTTGGTTGCAAATGGATTTACAAAATAAAGAAACATGCAGATGGGTCAGTGGCAAGGTATAAGGCTCGACTTGTGGCTCAAGGGTATAGTCAAGAGGAGGGTGTTAATTATCTTGAGACATTCAGTCCTGTTGTTAAACCTACAACTATACGCCTTATTTTTGCTTTGGCTGCTCAATTCCAGTGGTCTCTTAGACAGCTCGATGTAAAAAATGCCTTCCTACATGGCATACTTCAGGAGGAGGTTTATATGGACCAACCTCCAGGCTTTGCAAGTGCCTCACATCCTTCCGATTATGTGTGTAAGCTCCAGAAGTCATTATATGGTTTAAAACAGGCTCCCAGAGCCTGGAATGAAAGGTTTACCAGTTTTTTACCAAGTTTCGGGTTTCAAGTCTCTCCTGCAGATCCTTCATTGTTTGTGCAAAAGTCTTCACATGGGACAGTGTTATTACTCTTATATGTTGATGATGTTATTCTCACGGGTAGCAGTTCACAATTAATCGATCATGTCATCCATGCTCTCACTCAAGAATTTGAAATGAAGGACTTGGGACAGTTGCATTACTTTTTGGGATTGCAAATCACTTATACATCCGAAGGCTTATTTGTATCACAGACAAAATATATCACTGAGTTTGTTGATAAAGTGGATTTACAGGATTCTAAACCATGTAGCACACCATGTCTACCCTATCACAGGTTGATTAAGGATGATGGCCAACCGTATCACAGTCCTGAACAATATAGAACTGTTGTTGGTGCACTTCAGTATCTCACGTTCACACGCCCTGACATCGCATTTGCAGTTAATCAAGCTTGTCAATTCATGCATAATCCTATGGTTTCTCATGTCCTGGCTGTCAAGCGCATCCTTCGTTATCTCAAAGGCACATCTACCTATGGTATTCACTTCAAACCCGGTCCCATGCATCTGCAATCTTATAGTGATGCAGATTGGGCAGGTGATCCAAACGATAGGAGATCCACTTCAGGTTTTGTTATGTTTCTTGGTTCGAATCCTATTTCATGGGCATCGAAGAAACAACATACTGTGTCTCGATCTTCCACAGAAGCTGAATACCGTGCCCTTGCTATTACAGCTGCTGAACTTGCTTGGATTTGTCAGCTATTCTGTGATCTACATATCTCTTTACCTTTTTCTCCCATGATCTATTGTGATAATATATCTGCTATTGCCCTCTCTACAAATCCTGTGTTCCATGCTAAGTCCAAACACATTGAAATAGATTATCATTTTGTTCGGGAGAGGGTCACTCGTGGTGATCTTCAGGTTCAGCATGTTTCCTCTGCTGATCAGTCTGCAGACATACTTACAAAGGGTTTGTCTACACCATTGTTTCAGCAGCATTGTGCCAATCTAATGCTCAGTGCCCTCGAGCATCAGATTGAGGGGGGATGTAATAAGAATGAAGTGGAAAATAGTGGTCCAAGTTAAAAGGATATCAGTGGGTAACTAATGCCACTTGTCAAGATCCTATAAAGGCTGGTATGTTAGTTAGAATCTTGGTGGTTAGAGATATAGTTAGTTGGAATAAGGAGATAGTTAGTTGACATAAGGAGGTAGTTAAAAAGAGGTTACTTACTGTGTAAGATTCAGTTTTAGAAACACTTATATAAGTGTGAATTGTAAAACAACATAGTATGATGAATCAAATACATTTTACATCTTTCATTTCTCCTCAATAGTTTCATATATTTTTCTGTTCTTCTAAAAGCTTCATACATTCTGCTATCTTCATAATACATATATATTTCACTATATACGTCCACATGCATGATAAATATAAGGCCTAACACTTCTGTCTACAAACAAACATTTCCAGTATATAAATAAACATTTACTCTAATATTTATCATTTACGTCCACATGCATGGTAATAATTATAATCATGATTCGTTACTAATGCTTCCAATGCTTGAATGTTCAAGTGTTGTAAAACAATTGAAACGTGTCATTGAAGACTTAATTGAGCATTCCATTTCTCCATAAAAAGGCAGAAGGAGGAAAGAAAACGGGAGAAACAGCACCACACCAAAAACAGTGCAGCATCTACAAGAAAGATCTCTCGACCACCCACCTTCCCTTTCTTTTACCTTATGTAAAGGCTTTAGGCCATCTTCATTGTATTTTGTAAATCTCTTGTACATAATGAAATCCAAATACATATGCAACTCTAATGGAGGTAGCAACTTAAATTCGGTGTGGCTCTTTTGCAAACTCAAATTGATTAAGTTTTATGGTGCATACTCTAAAAAGCAAGTAGCTTTCCTTCGAGGTATGCTTTGAGGCTTGAGGAAATGCAGAAGTCGATGCATCAGTGGAAGGAGAACTCCCCACAAGTAGGCCCAAGCCCAAATCTAAGGTCATTTGCTATACCCTTTCAGAATTCAACAATTTTGGAAGTTGTTTGTCACAACTTGAAACATGTAAAAGAATTGACAGTTGGTAATTGTAAAAGAATGATACAATTGGAGGAAATTACATGTTGTTTGTTTCTTTGTAATGGCCCTTATTGTAAATTCGGTAGTCCTTATTAGCTTATTTGACAGGCCAACTTCACATAAACTAATGATCCGGATCTTTTTTTTTTCTCTCTTCAACGACCTAAATCTTTGAGTCCTTGAACTCCGGACACAGAGATTCAGAGAAGACCTCAACTTCTCAATTCCAAATGATTTTGGTTTGGGTAGTTGATTCTAGGTTAGGCTATCATTGAATGTAGAACACTACTTTGCTACCGAATGAATAGCAGTTGCTGAGCTGAACCTAATCATAAATAGACACATATCTAAATAATTAAAACTAAAAATTATAATTAAACATGTGTTCATCTGTGATTAGAAATTCAGCAGCCAATAGGAGAAACAATAATCACATTCATCACAATAGCCAGTAGGAGAAACAAGGACCATGCCACTGATTTGGGTTCCTTTTCTAATTTTCTGATTTTGGGGTTTTGCAGGGAGTACTGATGTACTGATTTTCTCGGATTTTTTTTGTCCTTGCAGAATTTTTGGTCTTTGAAATGGGTACATGTTGTTTTTAATGTTTCAATTCTAGCATGTTCCGTTCTTCATTGCTTCGTGATTCTCATTTTTTAGTGTTGAGTGATGGAAATTAGTTAAAGTAGTAGTAGTTTTTTGAGAAAGTTGGCATTTTTAGTTATATTTTCTGTTTATTCCCAAATGTAAGACTGGAAAATAATTGAAATGATGGTTTTTTAAAAACTCCTCATAATTTTTTTTTTGGGATTTAAAAGCATCTTTTCCGGATTGGTTTCAAGGGTTATGTTCTCTTCAATTGGTTCACCTAATTTTTTTTAGTTTTAAGTTTTGTCCTTTAAGTTTTGTCTTTTAAGTTATGTATTACGCCCTGTAATGAGAGATTTTTGTTGGCCTTTCGGATTTTGGCATGGGAAAGTTCACTTATTTGTCTAATTAGATTGCATATGCCTTCGATTCTTTATTTAATTCTTCTGTTTGCGTTCGGGTGTGATGATCTAAATTTCATATGTTTGGAATTATTCACTTAACACCAATTTCTTACATTCAGGTCTCCACCCCACATTTCACAAGTTCAAATTCCATATAAGTCGGTTCTGCAAATTGCGTCTGCAATTAGATCAGATATCCACTCTTTTGTTATCCTGTGGAAGATTGCTTTTGGGAAGGATATGAAGCAGTTCCTCTCTGTATGTTTATTCTCTATATGTTTATTGCCATGTAGCTCTCTCTCTTCTAATTGATGGTGTTGATATTACACCGTAATTCATGATGATGATTTAATTGTTTCTTGATTTGTAATTGTTTGTAAATAATGTGGCATATATGAATTGCAATATGTGTTTGTATGAAAGGGATGGCATATCATGTTGCTGACTTAATTGTTTGTGTTTTTCATATTTGCGAATGGTGTTATGATCGATTAGGTGATTGCTGATCTGTGACTTTGTTTGGAGCTCAAATTTTGTGAGCATTAAATTGGATTGTATTGCACTTGGTTTGATGTTTTTTTGGTTGACAATGCAGGGATAGGAGAAACAAAGAGGATGACACTTATAACTACCCTTCCCCATCGATTGTCTTCAAATTTGGATCACAAGAAGGGAGCAACATAGGTGGTATCCTTCTTCATTTATATATGGCTAGTGTAAATAATTGGACAAAAGAGCCAAACAAACCCTTTTATCTCAAATGGAGGCGATGATGTGGTCAACGGCCACCAGCCCCAACTCAAGAGTTTGGCCTTCATATAATTGGATTATGGTATAATTTTAGTTTGGTTCATTTCTTTTTTCTTTATATAAGTGCAATATGAGAGGGATGGCATATCATGTTGCTGACTTAATTGTTTATGTTTGTCATATTTGCGAATGGTGTTATGATCGATTAGGTGATTGCAAAACTAGAACTTGAAAAACTAACACATGCATTTAGTTTTTGTGAAGGAACTGCGATCCACTGGCTGGATAGAAGAAAATGACAACGCATGCTCTCTCTCTCTCTCTTTCTCTATCTCTCTCTCTCTCTCTCTCTCTCTCTCTCTCTCTCAATGGCTCTGTGTTCCTCTCCCCCCAAACCTAATGGCTTCGGCTTTGATCTGATCAAACCCACCTCCAAAACCCTTCCTTGATCACCATCTTCAGCAACCCAATTCAGAGTCTGCTCGGATTGGGACCTCTTGGAGATTCGGAGCTCCATGTGAGATAATTTTCCCCAAATTTCCCCCAAATTGTATTCAGTTTATGTTGCTCCGTTTCATTTTCCATTTTAATTTGGAATTGGTTGATATTTTAGGCTGGTATTGTATGTATAATCAGAACAATTTTTGTGTTAGATTGGGGACAAATTGTCCAGCATTATTAGCTATTTGGTCCCTGTGTATTTGTAATCTGAATAATCTGAATTAGGGTTTTTCTGTTAGTATCCGATTAGTGAAGAAAGATAAGCCTCTTTGCCTTTTTTTTTTCTTCTGGTTTTCAAATTTGGGATTTTACTGGGATTTATCATCTGGGCATCCTTTAAATTTGTTGGGTTTTTGAGAAAATTAGTGGGTTTTGTTGATTAAGTGGTTTACTTGGTTATAGTTCTAAATTGGTTCGAATTAGGGTTTTCGAAGTTTGTTTGTTTGGAAAATGGACACACTGACTTTTGTTTTATTTCATTTATGGAATACAAGGAAAATTGTTGGGTTATGTTTATCAAGGATCATTTGAATTTTATACTTTCCCATTTTTCATTTTCTGTTTGCTTTTTTTTTAGGCAAGCAGAATGATGTAAATCCTTGGCGATTTACAGTGGCTTTGAAGGTTTGGACTTGCTTTTAAAAAGTTCTGGAAGACAAACTGCTTTGGAGCCAGTAGCACTCAGCAGCTAGAGCAGCGGCGTCTCTCTTCCTCATCGCAAAATGGGTGTTTTCAGGGTGAGCCTCAATGCTCTTAATTTCAAGTAATGGGTTTGTGTTACTGTGCAGATCTGGCTAACTTTGCATTTAGTTTCTTGGAATTGTTATTATTTTTATTTTTTTTGCAATTATATATTTTTAATGCTTTTATGTTTGTCGTTCCGTGCTGGGAAATTGGAAAGCTCTGGAAATAATATAGTTCTTGAGCTAATGTGAAGATTTTGTGTTGAATATTTTGATTCCTTTTTTCTATTTGCACTTAGAAAAACAAAGGATTGTGGTTAATTATTATGCTATGAAGCTTTTATTTTTTTCTTTTTATGCCCAAGATTGAATTTGTTCTCTCCGCTGTTGAAAAGTAGGACTCTCAATACCTCTAAAAAATATGCTCCAGTGTGAAGTTTGGTTGTCTCTCTCTCCAGAAACTTATAAATATTCCATATTGCATCCATCAACTCTAATCATTCCTTGATCTAGTGTAATTTTTACCATATGTTTAACCTTAGACTTCTTTTCATGCATGTCCTCCCTCTAAGTCAACTGAGGATTCAAATCCAGCGGGTCCAGCTCAAGATATAGATAAAACAATTCCAACTCTTAAAAAGGTATAATTTGTTAATCCCCTATCCTTGGAGTTAATTTTTAGTGATGTGTTTTTAATAGAATTGCATATTTGAGTAGTGAGTTTTTTCAATGGTGTTATTTTTTTTAAACAATTTATAATACTATTTGTAAAATTTAGTCAGAATTTTTTTGAACAACTATTATATCGTTTGATTTCAATTTGTAATTACTTCTTTTGTTAAATTTAAGCTTAATTATGTTAGTAAATCTTTATACCTTATGTCCAAATACGTATACAATATAGTATATGATACGTATACAGTACCGTATATTTATAGTTTTTATAATGTTACTGAGCATTTTCAATGTATGCTATTTTGTGTGTAGGGAGTGAAAAGTGCATTCTTCACAAAGGCAAAATAGAGAACATATTATACCTCATATGAAAGGAAGAGGTTAGTTTGATTGTCACTGCTTTTTTCATATGGTTAACTTCTATGTTACTTGGCTTACGTCTAATTTAATTGTTTGTTTGCCCAAGTTAAAGTCATTCGTTTTATTAATGTTGGTGAACAAAATCAACCTGAGTTAATGTTAAAACAATATCAAAATTCCCATTAGTCCTGATTGTCTTAACCCTTTTCTTTTCCGTTTTTACCAAAATTTCATGAAATTTTTGCACAATTTTTTTGTTTTACAGAAATTAAGTTGATTTACTATTTTACTGTCTCTTGGTAGAATTTTCTTATTCGTTGTTCAAAATTAGTATTGCAAATTTTAATTGGTGGAACAGACCCAAATTAAACCTATAATAGCACCAAATTAAACTTATATTAAAGTGTTCTTCAGCTGCAAATTTGGGCATGGCCATATTTCAAGATATGTTCCCACCCCATCCCTTGGTGCAAACAAATTTATATTACTACAAAAAAAAAATGTTGTTTGTATCAAAAGAAAAAGAGAGGAAATTTTTTAACATTTTTCAACTTTTAGAAGACAAAAACTAAGAACATAATTGGTCTAGAACAAAGGATTTTACATTAGTATATCCATAATTGAAGGATTTAAGCCCTTTCCATACATTGATTTTTCTACAAAGACTTGGTCCATATGGCAGCTAATAAACAATATGTGAAGGTTGAATAGTTGACTTAGTTGACTTGCAAGCAGGCGAGAATATAATGTATTAAATTAGAATAGAACTACCCTGATAACCTTAAGTTTTACACAAACATTTAAAGGGTTAAATTGGAATGCACCCTGCAGAAACTTCAAAGAAATAAAGTTTATCTAGAAAGAAAAGGTTGTGTATACCTAACGGAGTAAAATATGATGACGGTGTTCAAGGTAATTTGGATTATATTTGCTTTTTGTATTGCATTTGCTTTCTTAAATTGAGAGTTATTATAATCTAAATAAAGCTGACTTGAATGGCCATTTTTTCTGTATTGTGTTTGCTTTCTTACATTGATTCCTTTTTGTTGATAAATGTAATTTGGTTTTGTAGGTCAAGGTTTTTCAGCAAGAAAATTAAGTTGCAAATTCATTTGAGGTACGAATGCTTCCACTTATTAAGGGTGTTGAATTCACCCTTGGTTTTAGTGTATTGTGGTTTTGAATGTCATTTTGTGTAATGTAATATGGATTTAATTGTAATTTTGGGCATTTTAAGTGATTATTTGGGTTTTGAGAAGTGAGGGAATGATTTGGTGGGTTTTGTACAGAATAGGAAGAATATAGGAGGAGTTTCAAAATGGGGGGATTAATAGGGAGGGTGGGAAGTAAATGGGAGGAAAGAAGAAGGATAATGTGTCAGTTAAAGAAAGCTTTTATTATTTGGTTGAAATTAGGTGTTTCATTAGTGGCTGGTTTGCAAAACCATTTATATTGAAAATTTCCAAGGGCAGTATTTGCTTGCAGCTTGGGGTTTCATGGATACCATCATCGCTATCATATGTCTGTGTTGATACGTTGTTAAGTTCCCAAGGAAGGCTTTGAAATTTATTTTTTTTCATACTTTAGACTATTGATTAATTGATACAAAGAGAAGTTTGACTTTTTTTTAAAACGGTGTATGTCTTCTTGCCCGTAAAATAACTGGGAATGTGTTTTTCTCTGTTGTTCTGTATTAGTTTTACATTCTAGGTTGACTCAACTAATATGGTTTCTTCTGAGTTAAATTTTCAAACTCTAAACTTTATTTGTTTTAAACAGTTTCTATCTTCTTGCCTGCAAAAGAGAACTAAGAATGTGTTTTTCTCTGTTATTCTGTATTAATTTTACATTCTAGGTTATTTAACTAATATCGTTTCTTCTGAATTAAAACTGTTAACTTAAATTTGTAGAGTGTTTTTTTTCATATTTGTTTTCTCTTCTGGTTTTGGGTGGTTTTTTTAATGATCTTTATGCGATGTTTTTATGTGTGGGTACTTAAATTACTGTTTTGTGTTTTTATTTTGATCTCAGTTGCTAAAAACTGAATTTTTTGTTGTTGTTAATGTATATATAAAATATCACTGTTTGGAGTGACTCGAATTCATTTTAAATTTTGTTAAATTCATTGATTATCATATGACATAGTTTATGATATGCTGTATATGATTTGAGTGATTTTATTAATTATAATTTTTCATGATCACAGTAAGGACTTGATCACTCTGGTTGTCTCAAATCATTGCAGTGTCCTTAGAGAGCACGAGGTCGGTCTCCCCCTCGGTTATTTTAGTTTGTTTGATTTGGATTTTGAGTGTTATATGTTTTGTTTTGTTCCTGAGAAAGTCTAGGAAAATGGGGGTGTAAGGGTGTAAATTTAAAGTAGGAATTAGGGGTTTACATTTTTAGGGTCTTTAACTGTGGATAAAAAAGGGTTGATCACGTTAGAGGAGAATTTCGAGTTCAATTACTACTTTTGACAAAATGATTAATAAGCTTGCTTACCTTGGAGTGAGTTGAATCCATTTTTGTTAAATTTATTATCAAATGGTGTACTTTGTGACATACTGTGATATGATTTGAGCTATTTTATTAATTTTAATTTTTCATTATCATAGTGGGAACTGGGATGTCTGGCTGTGTCTAATTGTTGTACTGTTCTCCGAGAACATAAGGTTGGTCTCCCTCTTTGTTGCAAGAAATTGTGGGATGAATTTGGTTTCAGGGGAATGTTATCCTTTTTTATTCTTATACTGCACATAAAAAAAACAAGGGGTTTTATTGGGTGCAAGTATGTGTTTTTTTATTATTTATTTCTGTACTGTGAAAGTCAATTGTGTTTTTGTTGCTGCAGTCTGGTTGTACTTACTCTTGGTCTCCCGCCGGCATTGTTATCTTTTATTGGGAAACTGATTTACTCTTTAAAATTGGTTACATTCTCTTATAGTTGCCCTTTTTGTTGGTTCTGAAAAAATAAAGTGACGTGTGGATTTCTGTCTTTCTATATCATGCTTATGTTGGAATGTTATACCTGCCAAAACCATGTGTTGAAATGTTGGATTGGTAAACGTTTTTTGTTCTGTTTTTAGGACTTCATTAATCGTTTAGAAGCGGAGCCAACGATGTGAGAGCAGAAGGGGAGCAAGCATGTGAGGTAATTTTTTATGTTGAATTAAGTGGTTTTGAATTCAATCAAACATTTGTATGCAAGTTTGGTTTCTATATCTATCGCGATTCATGTTTGCAGTGATATTATTGTAACATTAATCCTAAAATGTATTGTGATTAATCAAATGCAAAATGCAGTTTTGATGAATGATTGAAGGTTTCTCTATGATTCTATTGCTGTTTTGATAATTACCAAGTTCAGATAATGAAAGAGATAGAACGAAAATGAAAGCTTAGAATATGGTGAATGATATGTTGGTATGTGTGTGTGTTCTTTTCGGGAGAATCAGTTGCTGTTTTGATAAATTGTAAAATTTATTTTGCTTGGTCTGAATGCAGGTCCGGTTGCTTGCCTTCCCATAGATGGGTTGGGTTGGACATCTAGAAGAATTTGTTTGCATAGAACTTTTTTTTGTCTTTTCGCTGTAATCTATTTTGTTAAAGGTGATGATAAAGATTTATCAATATTGTTTGTTCGGAGTTAGGTGGAAATTGTAAGGGAGTAAATTGTGATCGTTTATGCAGCATTTGATAAAATTGGAAAATAAAATTGGGGAAATAATGTTAATAGTTTGTAGATGTTAACTTAAATATATTGGATTCCGATATATAATGAAAAAACACTAAACTGATTATTTTCTTAAACAAAGCATTGCATTTTGATTTAATTTTGGACCGTTTGATATTTTTTGTACAGTTAAATATATCATATTCGACTTCACCCATTAAATTAAATGTACTTATAAACTTAAAATTAATAATTAATAATTTTAAATAAAGACCGTTGGATCAACCAATAGTCGAGATTTATGTCATCCTATCAAAATGATGCAATTGGGATTGCACAGGGTGCCCTTTTCCTTCACCTTTTGGCGAGTTTCCTCCCTTTCAGCTCGTCAATCATGCGCCAATCCGACTCATCATTGCACCCCACTAATTCCTCTCTCCCACGCCTCATTTACTCTCTCAATATGGAATTGGATCATCCCCGGATCCCCTCCTTGGGGGGTTCTAGGGATCAACGCATACGAATCGTTGATTAAAAATTGTGCGATCATAATTTTTTTCTTTTTTATATTTTTCACGTAAAACGAAGTTACTTTACTTTCAAAAAATATAAAAAACATTTAATTGTGGCCGTATGATTTTTGATCAACGGTCTGTGTGCGTTGATCTTTAGGATTCCCAGGGAGGGGATCCTGCGAGGATCCAAATCCTCTCAAAACAATAATTTCTTAGCAAAATCTTTTTGATAAGAAGTCACCATATTCCTATCTTGGTAAATCAAAACGCAAACAGGGAAAACCTTTTGGATCGCCTGATCCTCTTTACGAGGATTCCAAAGATCCTCTAATCACAATCGTTCATCGTACATCGTATGATCAGTTTTTGTCAGGTATTGTTTATATTTAATTTTAAATAAAAAAATTATAATAATTTCTGACTGCACAATGTACGATGAATGGATGTGATTTGAGAATCCTCGGGATCCTCACTTAGGAAAACGGAGTTGTCCAATCTCTACGTTAATAAATTAATGTCAAAGACTTCAATCAAAACCAGAAAGTCAATAAGATCTCAGTTAAAGAACATTAGTATCTAGAGACTGAATATAAATTTTTCTAAAAAAAAAAAAAGAATAATTGCCTAAGAGAACAGCAGCTGGAATGCCAAATACCACTTCACCGTGACGTATATGCTTGCTTCTGTTGTCGAGGATTGATTCGTAAGCCATCATGCTTGTTGATGTGAGATTCTGAAAACAATGTTTACGTTCTATGAAAAATAGTTGCTTGCCGACACTGCCACCATAGATTCACCTCTCAAACTTGTTATTCCTTACGTCCAAGGACAGTAAACAGCAGCATCAAGGCAAATCTTTTTGGTAATATGAGCAAAGAATCTTGCATTGTAGAAAGCAAGCGGGAAAACATAGGTGTCCACTGTCTATATAAACTAGCAAAGAAGAACAGCAATTGCACAACCATTCTGCATTAATTTCCTCTTCATACATGAGACTTTGTTGAAATACATAGGCGTCCACTGTCTATATAAACTAGCAAAGAAGAACAGCAATTGCACAACCACCCTGCATCAATTTCCTCTTCATATGTGAGACTTTTTTGAAATACATAGGTGTCCACTGTCTATATTGTGTTTTCACCATGTTTTTATAGAAATATATTCTTCCAGTCATTCTCACGAAATATTACAACCAAATTAAAATTTTAATTTACCTTTGTGTACCTTTTATTATCTTTTGCTTTTTTGAAATTGAGAAATTAAATAATTACCTTTGTATACATTTTTTATCCATCGTTACAAAATTTGTTAATTGTTTTAATATATATATATATATATAAGTTAAATTTTCTACTTTTCCATGTTAAGTATATCATTGCGTTATTCCACCATGCATTATTTTTTGTAAATAAGATATATATTTAATCTGCTTTAATTTGTATTTGATAGAAATAATTGTTTTGATAAGTGTGAAATATATTGTCTGCATGCTTAATAACAAATTATTTGCTTTTTTTGCTGACAGCTATTCTCAACTTCATTGGTAGTGACACTGAACAATAATTTGCGATGTGCTTCAAATGTATGCAAATTCAGGAACATTGAAGCAAATTATTCTCTCCATAGTGCTCAAGTCGATGACAGTTGGCATGCTAATGCTATTTTCCAACAAAACATTATTTAAACTATTTTTTTACTATAAGCAAGGTGATGACTAGAGTTTTTTATACTTCAGTATAGCAGGACATTTGTTAATCTGGGAATTTCACATTTTTCTCCTTCTTTCTATTTTTTTTTTTTTTTGTAATTTCCTATGCCATTTGGGACTCAAGTATATAATTATAAAAATTGAAGATATTTCTAATATAAAAAAAATTATCATTCCTTTCATCAGATATGCTTTTCAGCATTATTACAGTTTTTAGTTTTTTTTTTGGAACTCATGGATAATTAGCTTTACTATATTTGTTGGTGCATTGAGTAACTTATTTGATTTTAGTTTTCCTAGCCCAGTGAATATGTAATTTACTGCATTCTCCGCCTTTTTAAAGATAAAAAAATTGTTTTCTTATGAAGTAATGATAAATAAAAATCTGAGAATAGAAATTTAGGAAAGAATGAGTGCAAATATACAACTCATATTATTAATTGTATGTAAAAATTGATTAAAAATATGAATGTATCATTACATTATATGAGTCACCAATTTTTACCAAATCATTAACTTACAACCAAGAATGTGAGTAAATTTTGGTACAAGTGTTATTTTATAACAACGGTATGTAAGTCTATTCTACTCGAGTTTATAACATGAAAAACACACGTCTGTGGAGGTTGTTTTGTTTAAATTTGAGAGTACTTTGATTTTGAGATTTATCAAAATTTTGATCTTTTTTTTGGTGAATTTTTTAATTCAGATTATCTCATACATTCTGATGAGAGAGAGTGAGTTCAAATTGTGATTTTTTTTTTTTTTTTGTATATAGGCAGAAGTTGGTTCAAGCTTGAATTAACAGTTATATCTTTTCAAATTCCATGTTTGTAGATAATAACGATGCCTCATACAACATTCACTATCTAGCTAAGAATGTTGGTAGTGAAGTCCTGCTAAATTGATGAAGAACGTCCTCACAACAACAACAACAAAAAACTAGGTAACCATACTCTATCCCTTTTTTTTTCCTTGTATTATAATTCTGTTGTCATATAAATTTGCTTCATGTATTTCAATATTTTTCTTTCCTTGCCTAGGATGCTTCCTTAACAATCAACAAATACTGGACAAAAGCTTTTAGCGTTGAAGCAAACATTTTTTGCCTGTTTTGGCACTCTTTATATCTTCAAAAAACGATCTCTCATACAATTTTTAATCTCCCGGCAATGCGCTGGCATAACTTTCTAGTCCATCCTAATTGGTGACCTGCATCTTTTTTTAGTTGACCATAGTGAAGTACACAATTTTACATGCGGTTTAGGGCCCATTTGATAACCATTTCATTTAGCTTTAGGGTACACATGTTAAATTAGAAGAAGAATATAACACTTAGTGCTTTTAGATTTCTTAGTTGTTTTTGCTTTTAGTTAGCAAATTGCAATTGTATCCAGAAGAACTTTGCAAGAAAAAAAGAAATCATGTACTCTGCCTTCTTACTTCATTAGCTTATTCTCAATTTACAGAACAACTGATTTGTATTGGTGCTCCAAGGAACGTATATATTGAAGAGTAACTCACTTCATCCATAACCAACAGAGCTAAGGGTACGTTCTTTAATTATAACAATATTTGATTTGAGTTGGAATCTTGGATCTCATTTATGGCATCTGGTTTGCTTTTAAATCTGGTGCCATGCAAGCTTGTACTTTTCAGTCAGTGTATCGATTATTTATCGTGTTTATGTTAAATCTGCAATAGTGTACATACGTGATGAAATGCTATGAAATACTTGAGCTAATAGTAGCAGCTCAGCATCCTTCGAACATTGTTATCTTTTCTCCTCCACTACCAAACAAAGACAATTACTCTGAGCCCTTCAATCTAAGATACTAATTTGGTGCATACATTTGTCTAATGAAACCAAGTCCACACCTGGTTCACTAACAACAAAGTAACACTAGCAGCTACATAACACTAGCCTTATGGAATTCAAGCAAATAAACACAAACAAATTTCTTGTGTTCCAAGTTGTAGGATCAAAACCAAATCTCATTTAGCTCCGACATTCCCTTCTAAATGGATTATGCTTTGACTCCAAGCAATCCTCTCAGATAAACAAATTTGTGTTTAGGCAGAGTTTTGTTGAAAATATCTACAGTCTGATCTTTAGACTTGCAGTACAACAACTCAATTGTGTTTTCCAGCAATGCCTCTACGATGAAATGAAATTTCTTTTAATGTGTTCTGTCTTTTGACGGAACACATGGTTTTTAGTCTTGGTTATTGTAGAGTTGTTGTCACACATGAACGATGTGGCATCCAATTGCATTTCCCGAAAATCCTTCAGAACAAATCTTAGGCATATAGCTTGGAATGTTGCCTCAGCAACACTCACATACTCATCTTCTGCTATGGACAGTGCAAAACTTTGTGGCTTGACTGAAGCCTAAGAAAATATCCCATATCCAAATGTGAAGGCATAGCCTAAGGTACTTCTCATATCATCCTCACTTCCACCCCAGTCACTATTACAAAAGCCAGTTAGATCTGCATTTTCACTTTATATACTTGAGTCCGCATTTTCACATTATATACTTGAGTTCAAAATCCAAGGTTCATGAGATGTATCTGAGGACCCTTTTTGCAATTTCTATGTAAATCTTTGTTATTCCATGTGAATCTTTCTCATCGGCAGCTTTAGTTCCGTTATTTTTACAATTTTTCATTTGTAATCAATGGGGTAGCAACTGACTTGCATCATTTCCGTCCAAATTTCTCAAGTAAGGTCTGTGCATATTTTTGCTGATGTATGAAAATACCATTGGATTCTGGAATCACTCCAATTCCCAGAAAATGATGAAGAAATCCCAAATTAATCATTTCATAATGCTTCATCATATCCTCCATGAGTTCAGAAATCATAGCTTCATTGCTTCCAGCATGAGTTCAGAAATCATAGCTTCATTGCTTCCAGTGAACACCACATCATCAACACAGATAAACACAATTAGCTTTTCTGAGCCTTTTCCCGTCTTTGTATAAATTGTTGCCTCACTTGAACTTTTGCTGAAACCTCTCTTGCTGAAGTGGTTGTCAATTTCAATGTACCAAGACCTTGGTGCTCACTTCAGTCCATACAGTGCCTGCCTTAATTTGAACACCTTATCATCTTTATTTGGAACCACAAAACCTTATTCAAGTATGCTATTGAGAAAAGCTGAATTTACATCCAACATATACAATTTCCGACCTTTATGTGTGGCCAAAGCAATTAAAGTCCTAATAGTGTCCAACCTTGCCATTAGAGCAAAGGTTTCATTGAAATTCACTCCAAGTTGTTGGAAATAACCCTTAGCAACAAGTTTTACCTTGTTCTTTTGTACGAAGCCATCTAGATTCAATTTGGTCTTATAGACGCATTTCACACCTATCACTACTTTGTCCATTGGTCTATTCACAAGTTTCCAAGTAGAGTTTTTCTCAATCATACAATTCCATCACTCATTGCCTTCTGCCAAGATTGGTCATTCTCAGCTTCTTCAAAGCTTTCATGTTCCATTATACGATAGTTGCAAGTTGCATAAATCTCACTCAACCTCCTCTTCACTCAACCTCCTCATTCCTAATGAAGTTGATCCTAAGGGAGAGTCTTGCACTTCTAGGTCCTCTGGTGTTGAACTTAAATGTTGGGGAGACTAAATTTCAAACACAATTTCACTCTCAGTTTGTGTTTCACATTCCACTTCATCAAGTCTAAGTGGTACTAAAATGATATCTTCAATCTTTTTATCCCAATTCCTAACAGCTTCTTTATTAAATATGACATCCCTCAAAATAATCACCTTGTAAGTTTCAAGATTGAAAATTCTATACCCTTTTTCTTAACTCTTATATCCCACATAGATGCATTTGGTGTTGTTGTCTTCAAGTTTGTGTCTCAATTGTGTTGGCATCTGTGCATAACAAATAGAACATCCTTGGATGCTTCACACCAAGTTTCCTGCCACTAAATGCTTCAAAAGGATTCATTTTATCAAGTGTTTTTATTGGTAATCTGTTGAGAAGATAGACTGAAGTTTTAACTACCTCACTCCAAAATGAATGTGGCATCTTCTTTTCAAGCAACATGGATGTTGCCATTTCAATCGCCGTCTAATTTTTCCTTTCTATAATACCATTATGCTATGATGAGAAAGCAACAGTTAGTTGTTTCTGTAGTCCTATATCCTCACATAACTCCTTGAACTCGAATGAAGTATATTCCCCACCTCTACCACTTCTAAGCTTTTTCTTATTTTTAGTCTACGTTGTAGTTCAACCATTGTTCTGAACTTTTTGAAAACAAAAACGCTACTCTTACCACATAATTAATATTCGAAAATTACAATTAAATGCCAAAAAGCTAGAGTTAGTTTCTAATCTTAGACAAGGTTTTATTCCAAAAGTAATCTTTTTCAAGAAGTGGAATAGAATTTTCCGTTTTTCATAGTACACTTTGAAATGTACTGTGTTTATTTATATGTTGTTGAAAGATCATAACTCATAAGTCAATTAGAAAAGCAAAGTATATCTTGAGCTCCTTTTTTTCTAATTTAATTTGTATTCATCAGCAGGCATGGATATTGTTAGTCAAATTGTCGGAAAAGTTGCCGAGTATGCAGTTGAACCAGCTATACGTCAAGTGGGTTACCTAGTTCACTGCAAAAGAAACCTTGAGAGTTTACAGACTCGAGTGAACGAATTAAGTGCCGCTAGAGAGCGGCTACAGCGCGACGTTGTTGGAGCTGAAGACAAAGGTGAAAAAATCCACACTGTCGTCCAGAACTGGCTGAAAAGCGTGGATGAGATCACCGAGAAGGCGAACGAATTACGCAGGAGATCAACAAAGATGAGCTGTCTCCGTGGGGTTTGTCCAAACCCGGTGCTCCGTTACAAGCTAGGCAGGAGATCAACAAAGTTGGAGCAGGCGGTTGTTGAGCTCTACGACAAAGGAAATTTCGCTAGGCAGGACATTTCGTACAATGTCCGCCCACAAGAGGTATCCGTGGTTTCGCACAAACAGTATGAGGCATTTGATTCGAGGACTTCAACTGTAAAGAAAATCATGGATGAACTGAGAATTCCTAATACCGACCTGATTTTGGTGTATGGTATTGGAGGCGTGGGGAAGACCACACTGGTTGAAGAAGTCCTTAGGCAAGCTGTAAAAGAGAATTTATTTGCCGATGTGGTTATGGTAAGAAGTGTGCAAAAGCCGGACCTTGAAGGACTTCAAAAAGAAATTGCCAAAAAGTTAGGTATGGAAGTTCGTGATAGCGATACTATGTCAGAAAGAGCACCTCATCTATGTGACAAGAAAGTTCTTGTAATTTTAGACAACATTTTGGAAAGCATTGACTTGCAGAGTGTTGGACTTCCTTGTCTGCCGACTTGTAGAATACTGTTGACATCCAGAACTCGAAAACTGCTATCCTCAGAGCGGTCGCGAAAAGACTTTGAGCTTCGAGTTTTAAACGAGGAAGAAGCTTGGCGTTTATTTGAGACGAAAGCAGGTGATGTTGTTAAAAATCCCGACATACGAACTGTGGCAACTGATGTAGCCAAAAAATGTGGAGGTTTGCCACTTTTGGTTGTCACAGTCGCAAGCTCTTTAAGAAATAGAAGTACTTTACCACTATGGAAGGATGCCTTGAGAAGCCTAGAAGTGTTCGACAACGAAGACCAAAAGAAAGCATACTCGGCTTTAGAGTGGAGTTACAGTCAATTGGATGATCGAAAGCTTAAGCCATTATTCTTGATCTGTGGAATTTTGGTAAATCATTTTGGAGATGCTTCTCTGACAGACTTGTTGAAATATACAATTGGTTTGGGTTTGTTTAAGGACATTGATTCAGTGGAGTACTCACAATATGCATTGCACAAGCGGATTGAAGAGCTTAAAGATTCTTGTCTGTTACTCGACTCCGAGGACAATACATCAATCACAATGCATGATTTGTTACGTGATTTTGCCATCTCGATTGCATCAAAAGACCAACGTGCCTTACTAAGAGCAGATGGAGATGAGTTGAAGGAATGGCCAAACAATAAGGAGTTTTCTGAAAATTGCACAATGATCTCTTTGTCTTGCGAAAACATCCCTAGGCTTCCTGAAGTTTTGAAATGCCAACAACTGGAGTTTTTTCATTTGTACTTTAATGGTGACTTGCTTGAAATCCCAGGTAACTTCTTTGAGGAGATGAAAGAGCTTAAAGTTATGGATTTAACCAAAGCGCGTATTTCGTCGCTGCCTCCATCTCTTCATCTCCTACAAAATCTTCGGACATTGTGTTTGGATGTTTGCGTGTTGGGAGACGTAGCTCTAGTCGGACAGCTATCGCAACTAGAAATTCTCAGCTTTATATATTCCAAGTTTAAAGAGTTGCCTGAAGAAATAGGGAAATTGACTCGTCTTCGACTGCTGGATTTAAGCGGCTGCTCTGAACTCGAAGTGATTTCACCTAATGTTATATCACGTTTGACAAGTCTAGAAGACTTGAGAATGAAAGAGAGCTTCAACGGATGGGTGCCCGAAGGAGTAAGCGGAGAAAGAAGTAATGCTAGCCTTTCGGAACTGAAGGACTTGCCTCGTTTAGCTGCATTAAGCATACATGTTCCAGATGCTGGCAGTATTCCGACTGACTTGTTCACTGACAAGTTAAAAAGATACCAAATATTAATCGGCACTTTTTATTGGGAATGGATAGGTGTGGATGAAACCCTCAACACATTGAAGCTAAACCTCCCTACTGGCTGTGAATTGGACCGTGGTCTAGAAATGTTGTTGAAGAGATCATGTGAAGATTTGTATTTGGATGGGTCGAACGGAGCTGATAATGTTGTGTACCACTCATGTAGTGAAGATTTTCAAAAACTCAAGCATCTCCATGTCACAGGCAATGCCCAATTTACACATATCATTACTGAGGAGGTATGCCACTGGTGTCATTCTTTCCCATTTACACATATCATTAGTGAAGATTTATTTAATTTTTTTTATTCGAGGGATACGATTTACAAAGAAAAATGAAACAACCACCATAGAACTCCTAGATTTTGTGTGGCTCTATTTACATATGTTTGATCATTTGAAGTGGTTCAGTTTTATCTAAGTACGTATCAAGAAATATCACCGTTGGTATAATTTTTTTTATCTAAACATACCATTTGACTAGATAATAACAATTAATGTGAATTCTCTTCTCTTAAAAATGGAATGTACAAATACTGCAGGTTGTGTTGCCCAACTTAACAAGCTTGATGGCGTGTCATTGTAATAGTTTAACTTTTGCGTTATCGTCTTCCATGGCTAGAAATCTTGTACAACTTCGAAAACTTAAGATAACCAGATGTGAATCAATGGAAGAGATAGTTTCGACAAAAGAATACGGTGAAGAAAAAACAGATGGCATGTTTTGTAAGCTACAACATCTGGAGCTAGGAGATCTTCCAAAACTCTCTAGATTCTGCTCAGCAAGCTGCGATGTCCAGTTTCCGTCTTTGGAGAGTTTGGAAATTCATAATTGTGAAGAACTGAAGGGATTTGTCTTTGATCCTAAACCTGAGACCGAAGAAGTATACTTTCTTTTTGACGACAAGGTAAAACTATTATTTGAGTATTTGAAGTGGTTCAGTTTTATCTAGTACATATCAAGAAATATCTATTGGTACAATTTTTTTTATCTAAAGATACCATTTGACTAGATAATAAGAATTAATGTGAATTCTCTTCTCTTAAAAATGGAATGTACAAATACTGCAGGTTGTGTTGCCCAACTTAACAAGCCTGGAGGTGCATGGTTGTCATCTTTTAACTTTTGTGTTATCGTCTTCCATGGCTAGAAATCTTGTACAACTTCAAAAACTTGAGATAACCATATGTGTATCAATGGAAGAGATAGTTTCGACAAAAGAAAATGGTGAAGAAAAAACAGATGTCATGTTTTGTAAGCTACAACATTTGGAGCTAGAATATCTTCCAAAACTCTCTAGATTCTGCTCAGCAAGCTGTAATGTCCAGTTTCCGTCTTTGGAGAGTTTGAAACTTTTTGAGTGTGGAGAACTGAAGGGATTTGTCTTTGATCCTAAACCTGAGACTGAAGAAGTATACTTTCTTTTTGACGACAAGGTAAAACTATTATACCATTGTATCTCTTTTATAGATCATTATCTGATGTCTAATATATTCAGTTCGACAAAGAAAGAATTTAACAATTTCATAATTCGAATACAGGTAGGCTTTCCAAAGTTGGAGAAATTGTCCATCTGCGGGCTATCTATTTCGACTACAGTATGGCACAACAAACTTGATCCAGGCTCTTTCTACAAACTTAGAGATGTTGACGTTCATCTCTGCGGTAGACTAATAAGCATCATTACACCTAGTATTGCAGGGAGATTGAATGCTTTAAGAAGATTATCGATAAGTGGGTGCAATCGTTTAGAGGTGGTTTTTGAGATCAAAGAAACACCAGACACGTCTACGACTCAGTTGAAAATGTCTGGTTGTGAAAATCTAGATTCAGTATTGATAAACGAGTGTGAGAAATTGAAATATATTTTTCCATGCTCAATGGCTAGAGGTCTTCAGCAACTACGAGTCCTGAGAGTGGATGGTTGTGATGGAATGGAGGAAATCGTTTCCAAGGAAGAGGGACTAGAAATGATGCCTAAGTTTGTGTTTCCAAAAGCAACAAATATTGAATTTGAATATCTAACCCAACTTAAGAGCTTCTATCCAGGAATCCATGCTTCCGAATGGCCGCTGCTCGAAAAAGTGACGGTGAAGGGATGCGGGAAATTGGATATTTTTGCCACTGAAATTTCAAGTTTCCAGAAGCATGAGTTTGGCGGTCTTTACACTCCAATTAAACACTCTCTCTTCTTAATTGACAAGGTAAAAATACATTACACAATTTTCTTAAACAAAAGTTAGCCTTTCAAGCTACTTCATAGAAGAAAAAAATTCTCCTTGTGTTATTATTTTTGTTGCCGTTTATCATTCTTGCGTTGGTAATATTTCAGGATGTATCATTCCCCAACTTGGAAACGATGGCCTTAGACAGAGACATGGAGATATGGTGCGGTCCATCCACATCACAGTTGTTTAGGAAACTAAAATCGTTGACGTTTGCGCGGGGCCAGAAAGTTTCTTTATTTGAGAATAATGTAAATCCAGATGCGTCCTTCCCACATATAAGTGTTTTGAAGCTTTACGGAATGTGGAAGTTGATGTATCTAGGCAACGAGAATTTCCCAGGGGCAGGCCCAGTTTTTCCAAACTTGGAAGTTCTACGAGTGATGGAATGTCCAGAATTGAAGGAGATAGGGTCATCTGCTATTCCCTTCCAGAATTTAACAACTTTGGAAGTATATGGATGTCACAGCTTGAAATATTTAGCAACATATACGATAGCCAAAACTTTAAAGCGGCTAAGAAAAATGACGGTTTGGCGTTGTGAAAGAATGACAGAAATAGGGGCAACGACATCAGATGGAGATGATGCAGGAAATGACGGTGAGATTTCTTTTTGCCAGTTGCAAAGTTTGGACCTTTGCCGTCTACCAAGTCTGCAAGATTTCTTCTCTGGAAATTGCATTGTCAAATTCCCATCCTTGAAAACTGTAAATATATATGAATGCCCTAAGTTGAAGATCAACAGCTCTGAGTGGAAGAGTTCCCCAGAACTACAAGGAGTGCATTTAACAGAGAATGAACCAGAATCTTATTGGTGGCGTTTGTGATGGTTTTTACTGTAAATATATATGAATGCCCTAAGTTGATGATTTTTACTGTAGTGTTGGTGATGGTGATGATGTTAATGATGACGGAAGCTATGATGATTCTGACAAAAAGAGCGAAGGTGGTGGTCGTGGTGGTAGTCATGGCAAAACTACACAACATATATAAAGAATTAACAACTTTGCTGCATAGTTAGTTCTCTTGTTAACATGTTTGTTATTTCTGTGTGTAATGGCTTTGGGTTTTAATGAAGACAATTTTCTGCCCATTTTAAATTAAATTTTGAATAATTTAAAATAATTTGTTGCTTATGATTTTTAGTTTTCATAAGCTGGTGTACCCGCACGTTGTTGCGGTGTTTGAAACATTGTTGAAGGTGTAGAAAGTTCTAAATATGTATGTGCCTAAGAGTAGTGTGTATATTGATGGCCTCCAAGAACATCTTGACGCAACATTCTCTCCGCCAATTTCATCTTCAAAATGAAAAAAAATTAAATTAATCACAAAATTAAGGTGCTTTTAGAGACATAAACTTAAGAACACAAAAAACTAAAACCTTTCGAAAGCACATATTCTCAATCATATATCAAAATTTAATTCAACCCCTTTTGACCATTCTTTTTTTAGGTCCAAGTACTATCAGTGTGATCTAAGTAGTGTTGGTTCATGGTACAACTATTTGGGAATATAGAAACATTTTGTAAAACAAAGAAGGCGTTCAGCAAATACATAAAATTGAGTGTAATCGGAAGTTGAAACACGAAAGAAAACATATGAAGAAAAACTCCTAATTAGCATTGAAATTATTGAAAGCTAAAGGGCAAACCAAAATCTTCACCTTAACCTTGCTTTCTCCCATTAGAATTTTCTTTGCTTTCTCGCATAACATTCACAATAGTAACACCGCCTGACAGTGCTATGATCACAAAATGATAAACAGCATACTAAACGGAAGTGATGGTTTGAATATGGAATCAACGCATACCTGAAAAGCTGATTTAAAATTGGTTATGCTTTGCCCATGCTCGTAACATTTATCATTTACAATCAGTAAAATTTTCCTGATAAAGGGAAAGCAAGGAGAGTAAGTTAAAGCAAAGTTGACAGACAAAACAGTTCGATGCACAGAGCGACAGAGACATAGAGAGAGAGAGAACTTACATCAGCTGTGCTCTCAAATACATATGGTAATCTGCATACGAAGAAGCAGTTCTAAATCATCCATTCAGACCATTAAAACAGTTATAACATCATCTGCACCGGTGAAGCAAATTCTATGAAACGAAACTTCAAATGAAATGCATATAGATTACCTTAAATTTTGATTCTATGGTTTTGCATTTGACTCCAACCAACATGCATGCTTAGAGGATATATACCATCAAGTATAACAGTCAGTAGACGCTCATACCACCACCAGCACATACAAACACAAAAATGCAAATAGAATTTTGATGAGGCTCGGTAATTATGAAATATCACCTGTGTTTCGTTCTCAGCAACATTGTCTTGTGAGGAATAGCAACTTTTATGGTTCCGCTCAAGAATTTTGTTCATACTGATCAAAGCGGGAAAACAGTCAAACATTTTAAAGTTATAAATTAGAGGTAATAGATAAATAAAGATAGATGAAATCAGATTGAATACATCAACCGGTGTTAGGCTGTTTGGATTTATCTATGCGTACATCAGATTGCATACAAAGAAGTTTTGAAAACCGAAAACGAACCGACAGAACTGAAAATGCCTGATCTAATCAATTTCAGATATCACAAGAATCCACGATCACTGCAAAACCAACCCAATGATACAATAACAAAACAAACACAGATCAACAATCCCAAAACTCAAATTCTGACGCAATCAAATTAATCCCCTGCCTAGCCTACTAATTTCTCCAAAATTAAAACCCTAAATAAAAAAATAATGCCCATATCCCCAATTCGTAAATCCCTAATTCAAAAGCCCGATGTAACTCCCTAATTCGTTTTATAACTAAGAAATTGCTTACCTTAATGGCTTGAACGCCGGAGATAGAGCAGAGAGGATTGTGTTCGACGGCACGGCACGGCACGGTACGGTGCGCCGCGGTTCGTATGGAAACAGCTCGTCGGAATTCGAAGACCCAGACCCTAGCAGCTTAACACTTGAAATTGATTTGTTGGTTTCAAACTTCGATTGTGTGGGAATTCTCTTCGTTGATAAGAGGGTTTGGGGTTTTATGCGATTTGTTTGTTTGAGGTTTAGAATTTTTTTTGCGAATTGTGAGCGACAGAGATGAATTTCACCTATTTTTTTGTGAAAGGTGAGTGAAAAAGGAAAAGAACTCAAAAGATAAAAAGAAAGAAACAAACAGAGAGAGAGAGAGAGGAAGAGAAAAAGAAAGAGTGATGAAGAGGGGGCCGGTTGTAGAAAAGAATGAGAATGGAAGGTTTAAAAGAAAGATGGTAGAGATGGTTCTTTGGGGGAAATTGTAAGAGAAGATCAGGATTGAAATAAAAAATAAATAAAAGATGAGTGTTATGGAAAGGTGGGCACGGTCCGGTTCGGTCCGTTTCATCCTCAAAATAGAATTGGAATCGAAAATTTTCAACGGTTTAGTTCGGTGTGATTTCGTTTAAATTTATTACTAAAACCGTATGGTTCGGTTCATGACGGTTCTGGTTCAGTTCATGCCGGTTTACGGTTCTAACCAAAATTATATATATATTTTTTCTAATTTTCTACTTCTAATACCAAACACATATTTCAACCACAAATTCAAGTAAATTTGAGTTTCCACTAATAGATCTACAAGATTTGTTCTGCATATATATATATATATATATATATATATATATATATAAAGATAGAACGGCTCATATCAAGACCAGAGTGTAGATCTTAAACAACAAAGAATGGAGAAAAATAATGTAGGGGGAGAAAAGTGATAAAACAACAAAGGAGGGGAAGAGAAGTGAAGAAAAATTTTGGGCTTATGCACATGGTCTTCTTGGAAAAATGTCTTATTTATATAAAAATAATAATAAAACAATAATTTATATTAAAAGCGGTTCAGTTCGGTTCGGTTCATTCGGTTCTTAATATTTCCTAACCGAAACCATAACTGTTTGAAACGTTTCGGTTTTTGTTCTGGTTTTGACTTTTTTGGTCAACGCGGTTTTTTACGGTTTTTTTTTGTCACGGTTCGATTCGGTTTTCCGGTTTGGCGGTTTTTATGCCCACCCCTAGAAGAATAGAGTGGTTGGAACCATGGTATAAAATATTGATGATATCGGAAATATCGATAGTCCAAAAACATGGAAATTTCAATGGAAATATCGGGATATTATCGATATCGATAAAAATTGAATAAAAACCACAGAAATGGTAAGAAACACTTGGAAATTTTTATTGAAACTTTGGATAATGTTTATTTAGTCAATTATCTATTAGTTTATCAAAAAAAATTAAAAGGAAATTGACACACCCCGTCCCGAAGGAGGGCATGCTGGCCGTCACGTGAGAGTGACGTAACCATTTGCACAGTACGGAAGCTTTAAGATACAATTCCTAAGTTGATACACCCGAAAGTGAGTCCTAATTTTGTCCAATCTGTCAGAACACCGTCGAATTCCTCGTAGTCACCACACCTTTGTGATTCATGAACCTGGAGGGGCGCAAAACCAAAATTGAGTGGGTCAGTAAAACAATTCTTTTTCAAATCCAAACATTTCTCAAAACGTTGTAACCCCTCTCCGTAAAACCTGTATACTTTCCCAGAAATGTAAAATATAAATATACATATATATTCTCAATACTTCAATTCATTAACTCAACATTTTTCAGTACAAATATGCCATGCCATGTCTAAATTCAACAGTATAATATGAATGCATCAACATAAATCAGGTGAAAGAAAAATAATCAACCGGGGACCCTACAATGGTCCTGTACGGTTGAATCTAGAGCTCAAAATATGATCTAACCGGAGTCACCAACTGTGACCTGTACGGCCATGCCGGAGTCACCTAGTATGACCTGTACGGCACTACACTGCACATAAGTCGGAATTACCTAATGTAATCTGTACGACTTAATGGTGTAATAATATGCTCTAGTGCTTTTCTCATCAATCATCTGTGCACATAATCTAAGGTCACCTACCAGTCGGAACCCCTCTAATGGTCTGTACGACTGGCATGTCGGAACCACCCCCCCGGTGGTCTGTACGACTAGCATCTACTTGGATCCAAGGTGAGCGTACGATGCGGTGAATAATAATAAGCACTAATACCAAGGTGCAGTTTATGAGCTCAACATATCTCAACATCATCATAACAGTAATAATACTCACCTGATACTCACCTGTGTGTCCACAGCACCATTTCATATATATGCATCATATCTCAATTCATACTTTTCATATCATTTCATGCATGGCAATTCGATTCACATTTCTATATACCTTTCATATCATTTCTATGCATGGCATTTCAAATCACATTTTTCATATGAATCTATGCATGGCATTTGAAAGCATACTTCCGTTAAATTCAATTTCTGGGAAAACGTCAAGTACATATATATACGGAAAACAAAACTGCCCACTCACCTGGAGTTCGTCCAACAACTCCCTAGCACCACACATCAAGGCGTCACGACGATCGCCGCCTAGAATAGTAATCAAATCCAGGCTCAGAATTCATATCGATAAAATATATAACTTATATAAAATACGTCACTACGTAGTTCGATTCGGAAGATCCACCACTCAGATTTTAAATCCATAACTTCCAGAGGTCCACATTATACCTCTAGGACAACATCCTAAAATTTCATTACCATCCAACGGTCGGATCTCCGTCAATTTCCAAAACTAAGTGACGGTTAACATTTTTATATTATGGACTTACAATTCCAATTCCGGAAGATCCGTAACTCGGATTCCTAATCCATAAGTTCCAATAGTCCTTAAATATTACGTATTGCAACGTATCAAAGTTTGGTGACGATCCAACGGTCGGATCATCAATTCACATTTTCACCAAAAACTATAAAACGTTATTCGAACACCTAACCAACAATCCTTAATAACTTTCTCATACGGTGCTCAAATTGGGTATATGAATATACCACGGTGATCTACTCGACGTCACGGACGTCGACATATTTTTAAAATAATTTTATTTTTATTTTTATTTTTTTACTGTAGCACCTTCTTCTTCCTTGGGTCGCCGGACTGGTTTTTCCGGCGGCCGTTTTTCCGGGCAGTTTTTTCAAATTGCCATAACTTTGTCATTTCTCAACGAAAATCAAGTGATTCAAAAACGAAAGTTGTAGCCCTTGAAGAGACAAAGAGAATGGTACCTTGCACAACACCTAGTTCGCCGTGGTTTGGCCGGAAACTGCCTCGAAAGCCTCGGAGGTCGCCGGAAACTGGGTATTTTTCAAATGAGTATAACTTCTTCAATACTCAACGAAATTGAGTGAAACAAAAAGGAAAGTTGTAGTACTTGACGAGACGAAGAGATTGATACCTACCTCGACTCCTAACTCGCCGGGGATTCGTCGGAAAATGCCTCGAAAGCTCCGGCCAAAACTTTGAACTCGTCGATCTCCGTGTTCTTTCGTCCAAAAACTTCCAACGAAGCACTCCGAGCTTCGTGGGAACCTCCTAGAGCTCCCTGTGAGCTTAGATTTCCCTAAAACACAACATATTCAAAGATCATGAACAGTGCTCTTCACGGGAAGTTTTAAAACTACGTTTTCCGAAGTAGAACTTACCTGAAATTGATGTCTACGTGATCGTGGAAGTTCCAGGAGTCCAAATGTGGTCTTACCTTGGACGTTTGTTTATGTTTTAGGTGGTTTTGGGTGAGGTTGAGCGTCGGAGAGGAAGAGAGAGAGAACTGAGAGTGAGAGAGAGTCGTGAGGGAAGAGAGAGAGAGACAGGGTACGGGAAAGAGGGAAAGAATTAAGGGGTGTGAGATCCTACCCAATCCCCAACTACAAAATTCTAACATAAATTTAAATCTAAGTCTCCACTCTACTTACCAAATTTTAGGAGCTTAGATATAACGAACGTAAAAATTATACCTTAGTCACGTATTAGGGGCATTTTCGTAATTTCACGTCCTTGGAATTAAAAATTCCGGGACGGGCTGTGACAATCTCCCCTCCTTATAGAATTTCGTCCCCGAAATTCCAGCAACCAACTAAATCATCTATACTCATACAATTTCCTCGGGTAAATCTCTCTCATCCGATTCTCTTTCTCCAACATAATTTTCTACTGAATGATTTCCTTCACAAAGCTTTTACCACTTACTCTGTCTCAATTCTCAGGACCTTCTTTTTCCAATCCAAAGTCGTCCTTGGTTCCTTATCAAGTCGAATCCAATTTAATTCTCAATAGTTGCACCAGAATCCCATGTGACGAGTCTGCCACCTAGTGACAACGCATCGAAATATAATGCATTATGCACCTTAGACAATTTTGAAGGCATCATAAACTTATATGCAACTTCATCGATTCTTTTAATGATCAAAACGGTCTGATGTGTTTAAGACTTATCTTGTCTTTCTTTCTGAATCTTACTATTTCTGTTCATGGTGAAATTCCAAAAATATCAAACCATTTACCTTACACACTCGATTAGTGGCATATCCATCTGTTGATCTCTTTTGCCATTCCTGGTTACTTCAGGTTAACTTAAATCACCTGAATACTTTGAGGAGACTCATCCATAGTCTCAGGGTCTACTAAAACTCCTTCGTGATTGAATCTTTCTTTTTTCCCCTTCTTTCCTTGCCTTGGTTAATTCTTAAATTTCCTCGTCAAATGTTTAAGTTTCGAGTACGACCTTACCAAACATGCCTAACTTGAAATCTAACAAGTAGAGCTTCTTCTCGATCTCCAGTTCTCAACTTTACTTCAGTTGATTTCCGATCCACAAGAAGATAATCTTGGCAAACGTACCAATCATTAATTCTTACTAGAGTCTTCTCATCAAGTGCTTCAGCTACAACAATTCACGATCACCCTGATCGTACAATCATAATCACTAAGTAATTCAATCCACCTTTGTTGCCTCATATTGAAATCCTTCCGAGTAAACAAATATTGGAGACTCTTTTGATTTGTAAAATATTGCATTCTTATCAACATAGAATGTCTCCATAACTTCACAGCAAGGATGGTAATCGTGACTTCCAAATCACCAGTAGGGTAATTCATCTCATGAGATTCCATTTGTCGTGAAACGTATGCAATCACCCTAACATTTGCATCAACATGCATCCAATACCATTCAAGAAACATCACTAAAAATTTTATGATTACCACTATTCTCTGGGATTACTAAAATACGTGCATGAGTAAGGAAATACTTCAGTTGTTGAATCCTTTGCTCACAATTTCCTTCCCATTCATACATAACCTCTTTTCTCAACAGTCTCGTCAATGACAAAGCAATGACTGAAAAAAAATTTTCACAACCATCCAAGATAGCCTGGTAAGCTAAGAAATTCTAAATCTCAATTACGACTCGTGGTTGTTCCAAATTCTCAATTTCTGCTATCTTTTAAGGATTCACTTGAATACCTTAAGAATATATAACAAATCTCAGAATGCCACATGATTCATCTAACTTTAGCATTTGCTACTTAGCATACAACCGACATTCTTCCAATCTTTGTTCCACCGACTTAATACGTTTACATGTTCTGCTCTGGCTCAGAATATGCCAGAATATCTTCAATGAAAATGATATCTATTTATCAAGGCATTATTGGAATACTTCATCCAATAACTCATAAAACAACATGAGTATCCATATAGCATCACCAAACTTCATAAAGACTATAACGAGTCCATAAAAAAACAATCTTAGGAACAACGTTACTCATAATCTTCAATTGATAATAAACAGACTTCAAGTCAATCTTTGAAAATATACAAGCACCTTTGAACTGATCAAATGAGCATCAATACACCACAATGGATAACGGTTCTCATTCGTTACCCGATTCCATTATCTATAATCAATGAACAATCTCTAAGTCCATTTCCTTTCTCACCAACAAACTGGTGCTCTTCAACAGTGTTGTACTAGATTGAATAAAACTTTTATCAACCAATTCTCTCAACTGAATTTCCTATTCCCTTAATTCATCCTGAACCAATCTCCAATATAAATTTATACCTGGCAACAAATCAATAGTGAACCTCATATCTCTGCCTGAAGGAAATCCAGGTATACTTTCAAGGAAGACATCAAGAAAGTCTAACCCCTTTTGACATTATTCACACTACTCCAAACAACATCATTTAGCACCACATGAGCTAAGTATTTTTGACAGCCTTTCGAAAACAATTGCTTTGCTCTCACAGCATAAATAACGGCCTGACTCAATCCATTTTGCATACTTACAAAAGTAATCTCTGGTCATCCAGATCGATGGAAAGTAACTGGTTTCCCGTAATATTCCATCTAGTCACAACTATAAATAATCAATCTAATGGAATAAAATTAACTGACCCAATACATACTTTATTATTACTGAACATTCTAAATAAGTACAACACTAACATAAAATAACATACCGGTTTGCTTGCTTAACGAATCCACGAATGAGTTATTAATATTACGGTCTGCAGCCCGCAATACTGATAAATCATCGTTGTCTCGATAAGTAAGCAACAATTCCCAAAGGTGTAATACTATCATTTTTTTTTAATTAGAATACACATATACGCCTCTATCACGTTCCAACATTACTTTCTTTGGCATCATCGTCCATACTCAGAAATATATCAGCCGGAGTCAACTAGAATGACCTGTACGGCTGATTCTCCAGCTCAACCATCTATGCTAGCACATTAGTCGGAGTCACTTATAGTGACCTGTACGACTTACACATCAATTCCCCAGTAAATACGTCGGCCGGATCCACATCTTGTGGTCCGTACAGCCGAGCCTATAACTCACCAATTTCTCATGTGTCAGCCGGATCCACCTCTTGTGGCCTGTACGGCTGAACATATAACTCATCAAATCTCTCGGTACTCATGGTCAATCCAACCAAACTACTAAGTCCATAACTCTGCTGAATTGACACTATGATATCATGGAAAATTGTTGAGTACAACTGATTATAGGGACGATTCACAATTATGTGTCCCCTCTGTTTACATAAAACACATTCATTAATTTCACATTTCCCAAAGTGTTAATTTTGTACCTGCTGCACAAGGTACATTTCCTTTACTCGAGACACCTTGTCTCAAATATCTGGGATTATCAGTATATCCATCACTTTTATTCTGACCAGCGACATTAAAAACTCAGCTGGAAGAATTAACTCTAGCTTCATTTCTTTCGAAGCTCTGAATCTTTCTATATCCTTGATATGACGAATCATTAACTCTATCGTCTTCTTTTGATTCCCATTCATTTCTTATTCTTCTTTATTCTCGTTGCTCATGTTCTCAGAGTCCTCAAGACTCAACAACATCTAGCATACTCCTGATAAGAACTACAATGGATAGTGGTCACCCAAAATACCACTTCCCTTTTTGCCACCCCCAGCTTAAAACAACATAACACCTCCACCAAATTAACAACAATATCTGGATGGAACGAGGCAAGTCTGAAAACTTTCTATAATATCCCTCGATCATCACCTTCCTTGTCTCATATTTGTAAACTCTTGTTTACTATCATCGATCAATGCCGAAGGAATAAACTTTTCCTTAAACAAGTCCTTAAACAATTTTAAATCGGCTGTTCCTCCGGTGACAACAAATCATACTCCTGTTTCCACCAGGATACAAATTCATACCCAAAACTAAGTAGTCGTCTCAACCCCTTGTCAAAAGGAAATTTCCATTGACTTGCATAATCTGAAACATCTTTTCCAAATGGTTAAACCGTTACTTCGCTCCCTCAGGTTCATCATTTCATAAGGTGATTCAAATTCAACTCATAACCCGTCTTAAAATGTCAATTTTTATAATAGACTGAATCACCATAAAAATAGTTTCCCCCAAACCGCTAAATCAGGGAGACTAAATTCCTCTAACTACGTGGTTTGCTACGAGGCGGTGTAGTTCTGACAAAATTCACTCGGAAATTCTCAAGATGTCCAGGATTGCAACCATGCTCTCTGATACCAACTGACACACCCCGTCCCGAAGGAGGGCATGCTGGCCGTCACGTGAGAGTGACGTAACCATTTGCACAGTACGGAAGCTTTAAGATACAATTCCTAAGTTGATACACACCCGAAAGTGAGTCCTAATTTTGTCCAATCTGTCAGAACACCGTCGAATTCCTCGTAGTCACCACACCTTTGTGATTCATGAACCTGGAGGGGCGCAAAACCAAAATTGAGTGGGTCAGTAAAACAATTCTTTTTCAAATCCAAACATTTCTCAAAACGTTGTAACCCCTCTCCGTAAAACCTGTATACTTTCCCAGAAATGTAAAATATAAATATACATATATATTCTCAATACTTCAATTCATTAACTCAACATTTTTCAGTACAAATATGCCATGCCATGTCTAAATTCAACAGTAATATAATGAATGCATCAACATAAATCAGGTGAAAGAAAATAATTAACCGGGGACCCTACCAATGGTCCTGTACGGTTGAATCTAGAGCTCAAAATATCATCTAACCGGAGTCACCAACTGTGACCTGTACGGCCATGCCGGAGTCACCTAGTATGACCTGTACGGCACTACACTGCACATAAGTCGGAATTACCTAATGTAATCTGTACGACTTAATGGTGTAATAATATGCTCTAGTGCTTTTCTCTCATCAATCATCTGTGCACATAATCTAAGGTCACCTACCAGTCGGAACCCCTCTAATGGTCTGTACGACTGGCATGTCGGAACCACCCCCGGTGGGTCTGTACGACTAGCATCTACTTGGATCCAAGGTGAGCATACGATGCGGTGAATAATAATAAGCACTAATACCAAGGTGCAGTTTATGAGCTCAACATATCTCAACATCATCATAACAGTAATAATACTCACCTGATACTCACCTGTGTGTCCACAGCACCATTTCATATATATGCATCATATCTCAATTCATACTTTTCATATCATTTCATGCATGGCAATTCGATTCACATTTCTATATACTTTTCATATCATTTCTATGCATGGCATTTCAAATCACATTTTTTTCATATGAATCTATGCATGGCATTTGAAAGCATACTTCCGTTAAATTCAATTTCTGGGAAAACGTCAAGTACATATATATACGGAAAACAAAACTGCCCACTCACCTGGAGTTCGTCCAACAACTCCCTAGCACCACACATCAAGGCGTCACGACGATCGCCGCCTAGAATAGTAATCAAATCCAGGCTCAGAATTCATATCGATAAAATATATAACTTATATAAAATACGTCACTACGTAGTTCGATTCGGAAGATCCACCACTCAGATTTTTAAATCCATAACTTCCAGAGGTCCACATTATACCTCTAGGACAACATCCTAAAATTTCATTACCATCCAACGGTCGGATCTCCGTCAATTTCCAAAACTAAGTGACGGTTAACATTTTATATTATGGACTTACAATTCCAATTCCGGAAGATCCGTAACTCGGATTCCTAATCCATAAGTTCCAATAGTCCTTAAATATTACGTATTGCAACGTATCAAAGTTTGGTGACGATCCAACGGTCGGATCATCAATTCACATTTTCACCAAAACTATAAAACGTTTATTCGAACACCTAACCAACAATCCTTAATAACTTTCTCATACGGTGCTCAAATTGGGTATATGAATATACCACGGTGATCTACTCGACGTCACGGACGTCGACATATTTTTAAAATAATTTTATTTTTATTTTTATTTTTTACTGTAGCACCTTCTTCTTCCTTGGGTCGCCGGACTGGTTTTTCCGGCGGCCGTTTTTTTCCGGGCAGTTTTTCAAATTGCCATAACTTTGTCATTTCTCAACGAAATCAAGTGATTCAAAAACGAAAGTTGTATCCCTTGAAGAGACAAAGAGAATGGTACCTTGCACAACACCTAGTTCGCCGTGTTTTTGGCCGGAAAACTGCCTCGAAAGCCTCGGAGGTCGCCGGAAACTGGGTATTTTTCAAATGAGTATAACTTCTTCAATACTCAACGAAATTGAGTGAAACAAAAAGGAAAGTTGTAGTACTTGACGAGACGAAGAGATTGATACCTACCTCGACTCCTAACTCGCCGGGGATTCGTCGGAAAATGCCTCGAAAGCTCCGGCCAAACTTTGAACTCGTCGATCTCCGTGTTCTTTCGTCCAAAAACTTCCAACGAAGCACTCCGAGCTTCGTGGGAACCTCCTAGAGCTCCCTGTGAGCTTAGATTTCCCTAAAACACAACATATTCAAAGATCATGAACAGTGCTCTTCACGGGAAGTTTTAAAACTACGTTTTCCGAAGTAGAACTTACCTGAAATTGATGTCTACGTGATCGTGGAAGTTCCAGGAGTCCAAATGTGGTCTTACCTTGGACGTTTGTTTATGTTTTAGGTGGTTTTGGGTGAGGTTGAGCGTCGGAGAGGAAGAGAGAGAGAACTGAGAGTGAGAGAGAGTCGTGAGGGAAGAGAGAGAGACAGGGTACGGGAAAGAGGGAAAGAATTAAGGGGTGTGAGATCCTACCCAATCCCCAACTACAAAATTCTAACATAAATTTAAATCTAAGTCTCCACTCTACTTACCAAATTTTAGGAGCTTAGATATAACGAACGTAAAAATTATACCTTAGTCACGTATTAGGGGCATTTTCGTAATTTCACGTCCTTGGAATTAAAAATTCCGGGACGGGCTGTGACAGAAATGCATTACATGATGAATTTAATTGATTTAAGTTGATTATACAGCGAGCTGGCAAACACTATGAGTGTCAAAAATATGTAGTAATTAATGAAAAAAAGATTAAACACACCATAATCATTTATATATAATGATTTACTACAATATTTTACACTTTATACATTGCATGGTAAGATACATGAGTGATTTAGTACCACATAAAGTTCCTATGAGGTTCAAAATTTTCACTATCTTCATCATCTCTATGTGTAGAGTAAGTGAAACACCCCAACCCCTCTTTTATATTTTAAAATTGTTTTAAAGCCTTAATTGGTGAGCCCGTGGGGCCCACCTTGTTTATTTTTTATATGTTTTCTGATCTCTCTCTTCTTCTTCTTCGTCTCTCCCTCCCGTAGCTCTCTCCTTCTCAGCTCTCCCGTCTCTCTCTCCCTCAACCTCTCGCATCTCTCTCTCTTCCCCTGAACTCACTAGGACCGAGTCACCATCGAAGAGAGGCTCGCAACGAACCCCGTACCCTACCCTGCGAGTTCGACGGCACGGAGTAAGCTCCGGCGATCACCGCCCCTTTCGAGGCCATTTCTGGCCAAACCACGGTGATTTGGCCGGCGTGTAAGGTATCAATCTCTTCGTCTCCTTGAGTACTACAACTTTCCTTTTTGTTTCACTCAATTTCGTTTAATATTGAAGAAGTTATACTCATTTGAATCTTACCCAGTTTCCGGCGAGACCGACGGCTTTCGAGGCATTTTCAGGCCAAACCACGGCGATTTAGACGTCGTGTGAGGTACCATTTTCTTCGTCTCTTCAAGGGCTACAACTTTCGTTTTTTTCTCGCTTGATTGCGTTGAGTAGTGACAAAGTTATAGCCATTTAAAGTTAGGTGGTTTTCCGACCGAATTTCCGGCCTTCTTCCTCGGCACCAGGCCATCCGGCCTTTCCCATTTCCCTCTCCCTCGAGCCTTAGGCCCGTGTTGTCCTAACCCAGTACCCCAGCCCATTTGGTTTTTCTTTTTTGTTATTTGTTTTTTTAAAACCCCAAAAGAAAGGCCTTGGGCCGGTTTCATTTAAAAAGGGCTTAAAGCCCTATTTTTTTTAGTGAGGCCTTAGGGCCTTTGTGACCCTTGTGCCTTGTGTGTGTGTGTTTACCCGTGCATGTGTGTGTGTTTGGGCTAAAGCCCAAACCCCAATTTTTTCCATCCTAAACCCTTTTAACCCAAAAACCCTAGGTTCCTAAAATCTATTAGGGCCTCATCCATCCAACTTAATTTCCTTAGTTCAAACCCAATAAATCCTAATCTTATTTAACCTAAACTCTAATCCGGATTCAAGCCTAAAACCCGTTAGACCTAATTTGACCGTTGACCCCCAGTCAACGTTGACTTTAGGGTTGACTTTTCGGGTTTTCGTCCGGGACCCTTCTTAGGGTAATTCGACGTTCTGAATCTATTTCCAATGTCCGTTTTCCCAAATTCAATTTCTATTATATAGTTTTATTTATTGGACTCTTTATGTGCTTAGGAGCAATTATTGTGACGTTTCCGTCTTTGCTAGTGATGCAGTTTTTTGCGGCTAAGTACTGTGAGTGGATCCTTTCTAAAATTACATGATTTTATAGTTTAATTGCATAAATGATTAGCATGCCTACGAGTTTGTGATTTGATTTATGTGAAGCCTGTTTATTGAATATATTGATTTTCGTCTCGTGTTTTTTTGTGAGGAATAAATTGTTAGCCTATTCTGAGCTATATTTTAATATATCGTATTTTCTATAAAAACCATGAACTGGTAGACTATCTGATAGATGACGATAGGATGCTAGAACATGTTTTTGAACCCCTCTTTATAGTGTAGACGATGATCGGTAACCTATGCTATGAAGTGGTTATTTATGAGAGACGTAAATATTTGTGCGTACCTAGTAGACACTATGCCGCCTGGGGCGAGGAACTGGTGTTGCCATGTAGGCCGGGAGAAATAATCTCTAGCGAAAGGCTGAGGGACACGGAGACAGGCAGTGGGCCGGGAGGGAGTTATCTCTGGCTACGGGCACAGAGACTGAGGTGCAGGCATTGGGCCGGGAGTTATATTTATTCAGTGATCTTTCTAGCAGCACACCGCGTTTACGAGACGATTTATGATACGTTTACTATTTTGATTTCCGCGATGCATTTCTGTGATGTGACTTTTGAGATATTTTGGCATGCTAGGATTTTTATTAAATCCATCACTTATTATGCTAGTAGTTTTCATTTATATAAACTTTGGGGGTTAGTATGTTGATAACTGTTTTATTATTATTGTATGTATAAACTTGGTCCACTCACCTTTGTTTTGCGCCCCCATTCAGGACTTAGAATCAAGGCACATAATCCCGACGTCAAGGCACTTCCGCAGCAGCATCTTCGGATCTTTTCGATAGGACTCACTCTTTTATTCATTAAATTTTATCTCAATTCTTTTTAGTGATTAGGTTTAGTTGTATGTTCTGAACATGTTCCTAAATTATTAACTCATTGTTTTTAAATTCATAACCCTTATTTATTTCTTATTCTTAGCTTTTGTATCAATTAATGGCTTTCGTCACCCTCTGGTGTCGGCCAGCACGTGTCTATCCTGGTATTCAGGGAATATTAGGGTCGGGGCGTGTCAGTAAGTTTATTGTGAAGAGTATTCATCAAATGATAAATCTCCAAAATAGTTTTACATGTAATTGTTAACATGCCACTCATATAAATATAAATATTTTAGCATATTATCACTAAAACATAAAGCCTCGTTTGTTTGACCTCCTTAGCTAGGACTAGACTAGCTAGGACTAATAACCCATGTTTGGTGCAAGCCGAGATTGAGTTTAGTGGGATTAAGTCGAACTCGTGCCGACTAAATCCTTCGTTAGCTGGGCTTAGCGAGAGCCCCCGAAAAGGAGGGGATTGCTAGTCTCGTTTCCTATCTTCCCTCTCACGCCGCGTCCTCGTGCTCGTCCTGCACGACTGCACCATCTCTGACGACAACTCGTCTTCCTCCACCCACCCCTTGTCGTCTGCAACTCCAATCCCTGCCCATGCCCATACCTAGCCCCACCCACCCGTGCCGTCTGCAACTTCAATCCTCACCCATGGAAGAATAAGTGAAGTTGGACGGGAAAAGAGGCAAAGGGAACAGAGAGAGGGATTTGAACGGAAAAACAAATGGAAGAGAGAGGAAGCTGAACATGAAAGCTCATCATGGCTGCCATTAAATTGGCGATGCTAAGCTTGAGAGGGAGGGGTTGGGGTTTTTTGGGGGAAGCCAGTGGTACTGCGAAAAAGAGGGAGAAAAGGCAATAAAAATGGGCGGAGATAAAAATGAATCATGGAAGAAGATGATTCCGCAAATGATAAAATAATAATAAAAAAATTAGTAGATTAGATTAGATTAAATTAATGATAAAATATTGTATATATAGATTTAATAATATAATATTAGAGTCCTGCTTCTTAATCCGGCACTGCATCAAACGCTTCACTAAGTTAGTCCAGCTTAGTCTAGTCTAAGCCAGTCCAGCTTAGTCCTGAAGCTAGTCCAGTCCGAGATAGTCCGGTGCAACAAACGCACCCTAAGTGATATATCGTGGTTAAGGTGTTGGAGGAGTAAAATGGGAGGGGTTCAAATCCCCTTTGCGTTTTTTTTTCCTCCCTTTTTTCCCTTTTTTTCTTCTTTTTCCTTTTTTTTCCTTCCTTTACATCGATATTTTCGATATTTTAGCGATATTACACCGATATTCGATATTTTCCGATATTATCGTCGATATTGTCGATATTTGTACGATATGTACATGGATATGTTTCGAAATATCCGTGATTCGAAAAAACCGAAATATCCTCGATATTATCGATATTTCAAACTATGGTTGGAACTTTGATCAACACGAAGGAAACATAAAAGGAGTCTGATGATGTACGTACTAAAATTAGAGAAAAATGAGTGAATTTGGAAAGATGAGGTTGGAGGGATCCTTTAGGATTTTATAATATATAGGCACATATATCTTATTCTATAAGGAAAGTAATTGCAAAATATAAGGACATTAAATCCTAAAGATTACACATTCTCATCCTACTTAAAACATGACTCCAATAACATTTACAATTAAGACTCAAATCAACACTCTCCTTCAAGTTAGTGCATACATATCATATATGCCCAACTTGATGATTAAATCTTGAAAAACCTTACTAGATATTGCATGAGCAAGAAGCTTTCATGAACTCACAAACGTTATAGAGACAATTTTCTTTTCAATATTTTCCTTGACAAAGTGTCGATAATTTCCACATACATATTTATTGTCAACTATCTCCCTTGCAGATTTATTGTCACAATATAATTACATAGTCTCCTTTAGTTCAAAACCAAGACATCTCAAAAGTTTACGTAACTAAAGAAGTTCACATTCTATGTGTCATACCTCTATACTTAGCTTCCGCAAACGACATTGACACCACTTTATGCTTCTTACTATGATATGTAACCAAATTACCTCCAACAAACGTAAAATACCTAGATGTAGATTGTCTGTCAGTAGCATTGCGAGCCCAATCTGCATATGTAAACCCCTCAACTTTTAGATGCTCATGCTTTTCCATAAAGTATTCCTTTACCAGATGCAGACTTCAGATATGTCAAAATTCACATTACCACAACTATGTGATCTTCACTAGGCGAGTGCATAAACTAACTTACAACACTCACATCATATGCAATATCAGGACGAGTATGAGATAAATGAATTCACCTCCCCACAAGTCTTTGATTTCTACCCCTATCTACAAGAACCTGATCTAGGTAAATACCCAAGTGATGTTTTTCTACCATTGAAGTATCCACATATTTACACCCTAGTAAGTGTACTTCTATTGAAATTTATCAAGCAAAATAGAACATTTCTTTCTGCTCAAATGAATAAAAGTTATTGAAGACCCAATAGTTTTTGCCATGCCTGTTGTAAAACATCCCCACATTGGCCTGTAATGTTTCAGGATTATTTCCCAAGCTAGGAAAGTTGAAGTTGCCCAACAATATAGAGAGTTTGTGTGGCTCTTTTGCAAACTCAAATCGATTAAGTTTTATGGTGCATACTCTAAAAAGCAAGTAGCTTTCCTTCGAGGTATTGGGCATGTAGATTTGACGGAGGGCTGGTACCTGTTATCCAAACACTCCAACTCTCCAACTACAAAGACATCATCTCCCCTCATCGAGGCTCCGCAACTCTCTCTAGTTCGATTTGACAGAGGGCCAGTACATGTTATCCGGCGTCTCCGATGCTTCCGTCACCGTGTTTGATGTCTAGCGCGGGACCGATAACATGGGCGGCGGAGCTATCACGAGGCATAAGTGCCTGCTTGCGATGGATAAGTAGCACGAGCACGGGCATAAGTACGCAGTGTCCTTCGCCGTGTGGTATCCCGTCAACACTGAACTGTTTGTGACGGGGTAGTACGATCATCACATCAATGTTTAGGACACGAATACGACTTAGGTAGTTATGGACTTCAAGATGTCGGGGAAGATGTACCGGACTGCAATGTCGCCGTTGGCAACTTCTCACATGCTCATTGCTGCCGAAACCGAAGATGTTCAAGTCCGCCTCTGTGATATTGCCTCTGGGGCTTTTGCTCACACCTTGTCTGGCCACCACGGTATGTCCCAAAATTCATAGAATTTGACATTTGACGCACACTTGATACATAGAAAGTTACAAAATTTAAACTTCTTATCATGGTTATGTGAACACATGAAACATTTTGGATGACAATATTGAGGATATAAGAAGGGGTTGTTCTTGAAATTTAGGGTGGACAGTCATGAATGTTGCGAAAATTCACTTCTTTAAACAATCCAGCCTAGTCGGTTTTCTCAGCATTTTGTAATTTGTAGCATTTGGATTTTCTGGTTGAACCCTGTAATTGTGGACAGCAGGAAATTTACAATACACCATGTTGGCGGGATTCATGCTTAGAACCTTAGTATCGTAAAGCTAGGTTTCTGCTCTTGATAGATTCATATTCTTCCTTTGGGTTCTCTAGTTTTTGTTTACAAAAGTACAAGTGTTTTTAGTTTTGTTTCTTGGGTTTAAGTTTTAACATATAACGTAGAATAAAGTTTCGTGCATGTAGAGGGTCCTAAGTGCTGTATTTTCTTGATGGCAGATGGTGTGATGACTGTGGAATGGTCTACTTCTAGCGAGTGGGTTTTGCTTACAGGTGGATGTGATGGTGCAATACGTTTTTGGGACATTAGACGTGCCGGATTTTTTCTTGTTTTGGATCAATCTCAGTCTCAGCTAGGGAGACGTCCACCCATCCTGAAACGCTCTGCCACAGTTAAAGTTTTCTTCTTTTCTTGGCTGAGCCAAAAAAGTTTGTTTTCAAATTACTTATAGCGTACTTATTTTGCTCAGTTTTTTTTTAATATTATTTGCTTCGCTGTTAGTTAGCCTATTTCACCAGCATTTCTGAAATGGTTTTATATACGTTTTTGGGAAATGTTGTTTCCTCTTTGTTAACCTATTAAATCATTGGTACTGAAAAAAGTTTTTATGCTTTCCTTCACTCCTGTCATGTTATTCTTCTCCGTTTTATTCAACACAAAGTTGAACACAGCTAAACTTGTTGGTGTCACATGGATCTGTGACTTTTATGACAATGAAACTTGATGAGATCTCAATCAATACGATGACCCACACTGAAGATACAGTGTGAATGCACAACCCATTATATGCGATGTCTATTTGCTTGTATAAGTCCCGAGTTCCCTCGTTTTCAAATTTCAATTATAACTTCATTGCATTATTAGCAATGTTTGTTATTGAAGCTTGTAGTCAATAGGAGAATCTAGTTTTAAATGGAGAAAATGGTATGTTGAACTTTTCCTTTTACTGATAATATTTGATTTTATGTCTGGCTCAGGGTTCAAAGGTTAAGTCCTCGTCCCCAAGTCAAAGCACATCTGCAAAAGCACTCACCTATTGGTAAAGGTCCAGTAAAGGGATCTATGAAGCAAAGATTACATCCAGGGATGCTGTCTAGTCAGTATCGTGTCACTGCTCATTACGGTGCTGTTACTGGATTAAAAGTCACTGAAGATGGTGTGTACCTCTTAAGTGCAGGTTGAGTGATTTAATTTTGGAGGTTTGTTATGCTTGAGAAGGAAATCCATTTAAATTGTCTATCCTATGTTTGAGTCCCCTTAACCGAGTTAATGTTCATACTAATCATAGTGTTTCAGGTTCACTGTTTACTTTTTTAATTATATCCATTAGTTTACACTTTATCACAGAATTATTGCAGTTTAACCCGATTCGCTGGTGTCATACACAGTGGCGGATCCACAGTGGGGTCATTGGGGTCGCGCGACCCCTTGGAAGCCATGGAAGCAACCTTAGAGACCCCTTGGACTGGTGGTGCGACCCCTGGTGCGACCCCGTTCGCTGCACACCAACTGTTCGACGAAAGGTCGTCGGTCTGGGCAGGTTGGATGAAGAAGACGAAGGCGCTGTGGCGCCAGTTTGTTTTTAAAAAAAACCTGGGCAAAACGACGTCGTTTTGGCCCAGGAAATTTTTTTAAATGACCTGGCCAAAACGACGTTGTTTTGGGCCAGGTTTAAACAAAAAAAAATGCCCAGCGTGTCCTGGGCAGGTCTGAACAAAAACAAAAATACCAAGCGTGTCCTTTCGACCTTATTTTGCACAGAGCCTTATTTTTGTGCCTTTGCTAGTGGAACAGAAAGGCTCTGCTTTTTATTTTATTTTTTCATTGTTCTTTGCAGATGTAGAGTTGGAATGTAGGATTTTGAACAAGGATTTTGGAGTAGCTGGTCGCGCTATCCTACCAAGACCCGATGAAATGACGATATGCATGCCGTTTCTGTTAAAAAAAAATTTCGCGCTGCGCGCGCTATCCTTAATGACCCCTCAAACATTATTTCCTGGATCCGCCACTGGTCATATAGATCACTCTTCAGAATACGACCTCCAACAGAAAATAAAAATAAAAAGAGAAAATCATGCATAGGGGATCTTACACCTTAGTTTCCTAATGTTTGATTCATTCCTTTCGTGCATAAGTTAGTCTAATTGGTTTTTCATTCATTCCTCACTGCCGATGTCATTGATCGAGCTTTTGCATTTCAGGTTCCGATTCAAGACTTGTGGGATATAGAATCTGGCTGCAATACTTTGGTGAACTTTGAAACTGTGCGTATGCAAAGCAGCAAGCCCGTACAGTTAGCTACAAGTCAGAATTCGGAGCTTGTTTTTGTTCCATGCATGACAGCTGTGAAGGTAATGCATCCTTTTCGTAGGTTTGAGTCTTTTGAATTGTACATGTGGATTAAAATACAAGCATCTCTACAAACATCAACGTTTGACATCCAGATTTTGTTCTTCAGGCATTCGATACGTGGTCAGGTAAAACATCCCTGAAAGGTCACTATGAACATGTAAACTGTTGCTGGTTTAGTTCACAGGATCGAGTACTCTTCAAACAATTTACGATTTTTCTATAGGTCTTTTCCAATCAATGCTTTATAAACTAAAATGGCATTTAATATTAAAGTCAGTTGCTCCAACTTCTATGTCAATTAACGGGAGTTGTAAGCCCTTTTTCCAACTGTTCTAAGATCAGATTTAAAATTACAAAGCCTGTTGAAGTTTTCCTCCGTTAATTTATTTATTCCATGAGCTCACCTTGTTATCTATGGATTATTGATGATTTTTGAATCCTGTATGAATTGTAATTCATGTCTCTCATTGCAGTAATTGTACACTGGTGGCGATGATAGACAAATTCTAGTTTGGTCGCCGCCAAGAATGGTTTCCAATGAGGTGGGACACCTGATAATTTTGTGTATCTAACCTTATTAGTTGCTTAGCGGCTTGTATCTGATGCATGTTTGGAAATGCAGGATAAAGGACCATCCAAGGACGAGGATAATTGGAGTGACTAGCATCCGCTGTGCTTGTGATCCTCATTTCCGCTAGGTAGAGCACCTTTGTCTTTCTCGGAGTTTCCTGTTTTGCTTTTAGATCTAAGGGGCTGTATTTGATAGGCACAATGATTAGTTAAGTTTATATTTTCTTGTGGCGTGTATATACATGTACATTTAAACTCATTCTTAAAGTAGAATCAAGGGAAAAATTCATGGAAAAACTTGTGCACTGTTGAATTAAAACAAGAAAAACTGAGTCTGTTCTGAACGAAAAATAAAATTTAATAAGTGATATTTAGTTTAATAACACATTAAAAAATTGTACATAATTACCAAATGTACCGGTCAAATTTTTCCCTCGATAATTTGTTCAGTTATCCTATATAGTTACACCCTAACAAAATCCTGGAATCAACCTAAAATTCTGTTTGTTGTACCATGCCGAGAAACTAGGTTCGTTGTTGTCCAACAGCATGCAGTCAACATCAATCAAAAACTTGTCACCGGAGGCAACGTTCCCCAATTCTTGGTCTGAAGCTCCATTATCCGGCTGATTGTCTTCTGCCTGAGTTACTGTAGAGGTGGCACTGGGCGATCCATCAAATTTGATACTTCCTTCAAACGGTATGGTTGCTGGCGTCGTAGAGTTGGTCCTTTTCAATACTTTATGGCACAAGATGGTGTCCTGGAAATCCATGAAAGTATAATTCAGAAACTGCATCCTCTCATTAGCTGTCATCTTTGAAAACCCAAATGAAGTGCTGGTCCATGTATCCAGTGTGCTAGAAGCAGAAGGCAAAATCAATCTCCCAACTCCCAAGTTGACAAGCTGGTTTTCGAGCTCATCCATCATAACATGACACATTCCTTGCCTACGATAATGGAACCTAGTTGCCACCAGAGGTACTTCCGCCAACTCACTGTATATCCTCACGCTACCGACGGTAATCACTTCCTCATCTCTCTCCAAAAGCACTGTGTAAAACCTTCTGAAGTTCAGGCGGCTAAGGTCCGATTCTCTGTTGAAAATAATGTCCTCGACAATGTCTCTTTTCGTGTAAGGATCCTTAGAAGGCTCGAAACACTCGTGCATCACACTCAGGGCCAAATTGAGCTTGCTGTAGTTCTCTGTCAAGTCTTCCATGTCAGAATCAGACGGAGTAGATGGCCTCAATATTGTCCACGTCAGATTGTCGGGACCCACCAGAATTCGTTTCCCCACAATCTTGTTGATTCCCTTATACATGCCTTCACATTTTCTGCTGCAAAACCAGTTTCCTTTGGAATCCCTTTCCAATTCCGCAACCCCTTCATTCCTCAGGCACCCAAAGTGGTATTTTTTATCACATTGGCTACATATCACAAAACCATTATTTCTATCCTCCTTAGGGTTTCCTTTACCACACTTCACACAGCAACACGATGGGCAGAACCAATTGCCTTCCAACACGTCCTTCAAATCGAGACAACTAGAGTGGAATGCAGCAGGACACCGATCACACAGAATCAGATCGCCTCCAAAGTGACACACAGTGCATATATCATCATTCTGCTCATGATGATGATGATGATCTTGACGCACATTGTCAGCCCTCGCGTCGTCATTTGACCGTGTGACAGTGTTGGTGCTTCCTTTCCGACTCTTCATCATCTGCCTCTGACAATCGTTGAGAGTCCTGCCATCTTCCAAAATAATGTGGGCGCTTGGTCTATGGTTTGTGCTACCAGCATGTGTTTCAAATCCAGTGAGGGTAAACACCTTAGAACAACAGTCACACTTGATTCCCTCGCGGGTTATCTGACCGATTGCCAATGGACTGTCAGTGCCTCTTCTAGGGCGGTAGTGTACCTTAGCATTCGGCGACACAGCATTACTGTCTATCAACCAAGAGAGGACTGTCCTAGGGTTTCGAGTACCAGGATCCGTTATCTCAATCTCTCTCGCTGTTTTGGTAGACCGTAAAAGGCGTGTGACCTGCTGTTTAGTAGCTTTATTCTGTTTCCTTAGTCTCTTCATATCCGCAAGAACCTTACCTCGCTTCTGTTTCGGACTCCAGTCATCATCAACCTTCGATGCTTCACCAATCTTTCTCTTCTTAACCGTTTTTCTTGATGTCGATTGCGGCATAACATCTACTACGATATCAGGAGCAGCAGAGCACTCCACGGACACCACGGAATTTGAAGTAGTGCTTTCGGAAAACACTCCTCCTCCTGGAGAATTTACACAGGCTTGGCAAGCCAGGCGTAGCGAGTAGTAGACTTTTCCGATGGGAGACTCGTACCGCAACTCGGTCTTCTGCTGCTTGTTAGCATACCAGAACTTCCATCCCAAGACGGAGAGGTGCCTTTTCGCCTTCTCAGTGACGTCGGACTTCCCGCGTCCGCGCTTCGTGTTGCCATTCGCCCAGTATTGAACTGCTGAGGAGCAGAATTCTGGTTCCACTGTAAGTACCAGCTTTTGCTTCATCGCCTTCATCAAAATCTTCAAACCCTAAAAACTCTAATGCAGAAAAATATAATCCAAGAACTCAAGAAATTGCGAAAGACAGAGAGAGAGAGTTATATTAGGGTTCAATGTGATGGAGGAGCTGTGGGATATTTAACTTGGGCGCTACGGAATTCCTAGTACCAACAGGAAAGTTTTGATCTTTGCCCAGATCAACGGTCAGAATTCGTCTCCACTATTTTTTTCGAATTTTGTTGGCATGGAACGAAAAATGCCAATCTCTGTAAATATTTGACGATGTAAGAAAATCAGTAGTTGGAGAACAACTGAGAGAGATTCATAGTGAAGTATTTGGTTCGGTTGAGGATTGTGATGTGTATGGGGCGGTCGGGTTTTCCTAATGGGCTGAGGATTTCTGGTTTTTTGAAATTTATTATATTTATTGGAACGTTCCGATTTAGTACTTATTTTTCAGACCAACCTCAATGGTTGGGATTAAATCTAAACTTTTAGTCCAAAAAATTTAAGTTCCAACTCAAAACAGTTTTTCTTCTTCAATGTTATTTGCTTAAAATTTTAGGGGAAATTATTAAAGAATGATTTTAGTTTTTTTTTTTACTACTTTTTTTATATAAATAAAATTTGTGTAGATTATCCTACTTTATATTTATGAACGTTTTAACATAAAAGTATTTAAATTTGGATAAACAATAGAAAATCGCCAAATCTATCTCATTCTTACGCATATACACCACATGAAAGAACATGGAAAACCACACGACCTACCCCATTCTTAAAATCAAATACACAGGTGAGCAGAAAGATCAAAAAATAAAAAAATAAAGAAGAAGAATTGTTTGGCAAAAGTTGTCACAGCCCGTCCCGAAATATTTATTTTCGACGGCGTGAAATTTCTTTTATACCCTTGGACGATTAGTGTGGTTGGGTGGGTTTAAGTTAGGTTTTGGACCAATTAAGTTCTTTCCTAATTGTTGGGCCAATTAGGACTAATTTTTCTTTTGTTTTTTTTTATTGGTGACCCAAACTGGACCACACACCTACACACCAAATCATGTTGATCCTCTCTCTCTCTTCTCTCTCGGTTTTTCTGCAAATTCCGTACAAGTTGTACGGATGACCATTGAACCCTCCATTTCACGCACGGATCGAGCTCGTAGTTACCATCATCCTCTTCATCTCATTGTCACAAGCTCAACCATACCCTTTTCTGGTCGTGAAACCTTCGAACCCGAGACACTCAGTTTTGGTGCATTGTTCATGCACACGTAAATGTGAAGGTTTCAATGGTTTTTGAGCTTCTAGGGAGCTTTAGATCATCTCCATGAAGCTCGGAGAAGAAAAACGAGGCGAATTGGACATCAGGAAGCTCGGGAATAGTGAGTTGCAGGGGTGACCGGAGTATCGCGATTTTTTCGGCAAGATTTCATCGTTTTTGGGGCTTTAAACAGGTAAGGGAATGTTCTACAAGTTAAGAGCTTCAATTTGGTACCGATTTCATGAAATTTGGATGAAAAACAACTAAGATATAAAGGTTTAAAGTTTTTCCAGTTTTTCCGGCGACGGCGAAGGTCCGGTAAATCAAGGAAGGAGACGACGGAATATTCCGTCAAGTTTGGCGGAATATTCCAACAGCGTCAAGTTAGTTTTAATGGTATATGCTATTTTTTAACGGAATATTTCCTAACGCCGTTAGGGTTATCGTCAATGTGTGCGGCACGTGCCCGCGAGTGGGGGGGGGGCATGTTGCCGTGCCCTTGCCCGCGCATGGCGGCGCGTGGGGCGTCGGAAAATTTTTCTAAAAATATGGGGATGTTCGTGAGGTTGTGTAGATCACGTTGGTATATTCAAACATCCCATTTTAGCAATGTATGAGAAGTTATTAGCTAGTATTGGTTATGTGCTTTAAATTAACGTTTTTATAGTTGTTTCGCATATAGGGGAGACTTATCCCGAGGACGAGCGCAGTCAAGGGAAACTCGGGGGCTACAACCCTTTGATATACCAGTGAGTGGGCTTTTGGTTTTAAGTATATACGCGTATGCTTGATATTTTTCCAGAAAAATGCATTTAAATGAGTTATGCTTTGAAAATGCCATGCCTATTGATTTATGCTTAAACCATGAGTTAGAATTGTATGCATAAATGTGATTTGGTGTTGTGGGCGCTCAGGTAAGTTCCAGGTGAGTTTATGAATTGTGAATGTGTATTGAATGGTGGTGATTAATTTAGCTCATAAACCTGCATCCCGGTGTTAGTGATTAGTCAAAGATATGACACAAGCCTGTATATAATGTCACATCCCGCACCATATGCTCACATTGGATCAAATTTAGGTGCACAGTCTTGTCGTACAGACCATTATAGGTGGTTCCCACTCGTAGGTGACTAGCGATTTATCGCACAACTATTATGAGAGCGTAGTGATTAGCATAACTATATTACAGCAGTCTTGTCGTACAGACCCTTCAAGTGGTTCCGACTCGTGTGCAGTGTAGTGCCGTATAGGTCATTTGCAATGACTCCGGCTAGATTGACTAATGAGCTATGAATTCAGCCGTACAGACTTCTGCAGGGGTTCCGGCTAATGATATATTTTCCATGAATTTATTTTCACCTGAGTTACTTATTCTGTTTATATCTTGGCATAACATACTTATAATGATGAATATGTGAAGCATGATTTGAATTGATATATATGTATATGTTTATATTCTATTTCTGGGAAAAATTTATACATGTTTTACGGCAAGGGGTTAGAGCATTTTAATGATGAAATGGTTTTGAAAAACATTTGTTTTTGCCCACTCACATTTTCTGTTTTGCGCCCCTCTAGGTTTTAGGTAGACTTGTTGTTGATGGCATTGAGGATCTCGGCGGTTATGACATAATAAAATATTCGTAGGATATCTTCTGGTACTGTATAACTAGTACTTGTCCTACTGGAGTGCACCTAGACTTTCTATGCTCTGATTAAGAGTATTTACACTTGTATCTCACTCCTAGCACTTCCTGTTTATTAGTGCACATTAGTAGCTTTCGGTTTTTATTTATTCGTATATTTCTTATCTTTATTACTTTCGCACTGTGCACATGGCTACGTCACCCTCATGTGACGGTTAGCATGCCTCGATCTCGGTCGGGGTGTGTCAAAAGTGGTTTTTTTTTGTAGATGTTTGAACAAATACATAGGTATTTATAGACTGTTTGAGTGAATTTTTATTTAAATTGTTTTAGCTATTGGATTTAATTTTAAGTTGTCAAATTTTTTTACCGTTAGATTTGCTCATATTCGATCTTATGCATTGGATTTAATGTATTTATAAATTTGATTTAAAAAAAATGAATCTAGACCGCTGATTGAACTAGCAATCTAACCACGTGGGTCGTACAATAAAAAAAATAGTTGTTAGTTTGTCCGCAAGTGACCAACAGAGTCAACAACCGGGCTAAATTTGGCTTAAAAATAAGTTTTAACCTAAATTCTTTTTTTAGCTCAACGATTAAAGAAGTTTTGGTTAAGTTAAAAACTTGAATTTTGAATTTTAACCCAATCATAAAAAATTGGTCTAAAGGATTAGAAATATCTATTCAAAATGTTTAGGCATCAACCCGTGAATAAGTTTCTAAGAGCGGTTGATAAATCAATCCAAAAAGTGTGGAGGGCTCAAATCAACGGTCCAAAACAATCTTTCTTGCACGAAACGGGAGGTTGAATCCCCCAATCATATATAGTTAAGTTACTCCAAATTGACTTTCACATGCCATCACAAACACCGCCCACCGAGTTTTCATAGAATTTATCACTTCACCAATATACGTTGCATATAAAATTGGAAATTAATCCAAAACAAGCAAGCACGTAGTTGAAATTGTAGTTCATGGTTAACTAATTTAGACTTTGCCAACCAGAAGTTAGTGGGAAATATGAAAAAAGGTTAATTTTGTGTTTTAAAAAATTGAGGGAGAGGAACACTAAATCAATAATAATTCATACTTTAGTGTCATGTCTTAGTCCTATATTTGATTACAAATCTATGGAAAGTTCTATTTAGCACATATATTTTAGTATCATGCTCGCTTCTCTTGAGGCGTATTTATTTATTTATTCTAAATTGGTATGCAAGATAAAGATGTTCCGCGCAGTCTTAATAGGCTTTTTTAACTAAAATGATCTTAGAAATTAGTATAACTCTTCATTTTGGTCTTTGAGATTTGAAATCAATAAAAATAATTCCTAAGTTTATCAACCATCAATTATTTTGGTTATTTCGTTAAAAAATCTGTTAATTAAGGACCAAAATGAGAAAAAAAGGCTCACAACTTAATAAACACTGGGCCAAAATGATTTGACAAAATTTGAGGATATATTTGTCATTTTACCTTTTTAATGGAGATTTGTCACGGAATGATCAAAATAATTGATGGTGAACAAACTTAGAGACCATTACTATTGCTTTCAAATTTCAGGAACAAAAATGAAGAGTTATGTCAATTTCAATGACCATTTTGATTAAAAAACCTTCGTAATAACGTATCATGTATCGTTGACAACTTTATGTTCAAGTTTTCTATGCAGTAGGTGAACATGCGTTCATGTCTAACATTCTTAGATCAAAATCTTAATATTTCCCATCCAAAAATTTGCACTTAAAAATGATTAACCAGCTAACACTTGCATTAAGTGTGAATAATTAAGGTCATTAGCGTAAGTCAATGCTTTCTACATCACTTCGTATTTAATCTTCAACGCTCTCGCGGCAAAACCTACAAAGTACAAACACACACTCTCCTCCCAAATGCTCTGTTTCAAATGAAAGACCACTCTCAGCCAAACCACAACTGTCAAACCACAGCCGTCTCCTCCTCTCCTTCCACCCCACCGGATATGGATGCCGGAATATGGAGCAAGCTGCCGGAGGAGCTCCTCGAGCTCGTCCTCTCTTTCCTCCCTCTCAAAAACTTACTGAATCTTCGATCGACTTGCAAGCGCTTCAAGTCTCTGTTATTCTCTCCCTCCTTCGTCTTCAAGCACTCCTCCTCCCCCTTCCCCTCCTTCCTCCTCCTCTCCCACCCTCAGTGCTTCCACCACTTCCCTCTCTACGACACCACCGCCGCCACCTGGCGCAAGTTACCTTTGTCTCTCTCTCCTCTGCTACCCTGTGCAACAGGCGCAGCACAAGCCTCCCTCCTCACTTCGTCCAATGGGTTGCTCTGTTTCCTTCTTCCCAATTCGTTTCTCGTCTTGAACCTTATGACCAAGTCCTCCAGAGTGATCGAATTCCCATATTACCCTTTCGGATTCGAGATTTTCTCTTTGATTGCCACCCCTGCTGGGTACAATATGTTCATGATCTCTTCCGGGTCATCGTCCAAAAGCACTTTGCTCTACGATTCGAAGGCCCAATCTTGGCAAAAATTCAACTTTTCAGAGACGGTTTTAAGCAACAATTGTCAGGAGACGGGAGTTTACTTCAAAGGGTGTTTGTATTTCGTGACGCCGGAGCCTTTTTCGATTGTCTGCTTCGAATTGGAGAGCTGGAAGTGGGGAAGACCGATTCCGGAGCTGCCGGCAGAGCTCATGTTTGCTCGGCTGGTCAGCAGCGGAGACGGCGGAGGAGGAGAGGGGAAGAAGCTGTGTCTGATTGGTGGGGTCGGCAGAAATGGGATTGCCAGGAGCTTAAAAGTGTGGGAATGGGAATGCAGCGGCGGAATGAAGTGGGTGGAGGTGGAGAGATTGCCGGAAAGGATGTGCAAGAAGTTGATGTCGGTTTGTTTCCACAATTACGAGCACCTGTACTGCTTTTGGCATCAGGGTTTGATCTGCGTCTGCTGCTACAATTGGCCGGAGGTTTTGTACTTCAAGGTTTCGAGGAGGACGTGGCATTGGGTCCCCAAATGCCCTTCTCTGCCGGATAAATCCAACTGCGGGTTCCGGTGGTTTTCCTTTATGCCGAACTTGTTTGCATCGGCTTGAGGAGAAAGAATTGCATGAAACGATAAGCATCGATGGCGTTGTGTTATTAACTTGTTAGTCCGAGAGGTGACGGTGGTAGTATCTAAGGGGTGCAAGTCTTTTCTCAATTTCTGCTTCTGCTTCTGATATGTACTTATTTGTTACCTTGATCCGATTCTGCTTGTGTACATTTTCATAAAGGGAGATCTGTTTAGACATTAGATTTTTACTTTTTTTATTTTTGTTTGTCGTGGGATTTCAGAACATTGTGTCACGATATTTTGTAATGATATACTACCACGTTTTTGTATCATTTTTGTTTTTTTTCCTATTCAATAGTACAAGAAATGCTAATTTGACATTAATTTCTTACCAAAAGTGATTTTCAAACATTAATTTTAACTTCATATATTTCTCTTTATTTATAACCATTAGATTAAATAAATTAATCAGAACAAATCGTCAAAATTATACAAAATTGTGTAAAAGACTGAAAAAACTTATGTGATAAACACTTTTCTTTCTTATTTAATGCAAGTAATATCGTCTGAATTGACTTAACATGACAGAAATGAAAAGCTGACACAACCGTTGACCCTTTCTTTGCTTGCTATTGGTCATTTAAATTATTTAATTTAATACCAAACAAAATACTAATTAGCGTGTCACTATTAACATAATTATGGATACGAAAATTTCTTTGAACATGATAGGAAGAAAGTTATTTCATTTCAGCCGTAAATTCAAAAAAAGGGCATTGAAATTTGGAGTGAAAGAAGGCAAATAGCGGTTGGTTTATTAATTATTCTTTATTGCTTTCCACACTAATTGTCCTCCTTCCAAACTATTTGTCCAACAATAAATTTTAAGGAAACTCTTAAAAATAAGATTTTTTATGAATTCTTCGTTGTTTCATTTTATTTTTTTTTGCATAATATTTACTAATATGTGCACGGATATTATTTTAAAAATATGAGATGACAGAAAGTCTATAAAGAGTTTCATTTTTTTAAGTTCTCTTAACATTTCTCTTATAAAAAAAATAGGTTGGAAAATTGTAAGCAGTGACTCTCTTAATTTCTAAAAGTAGATGACTTTTCAAAAAGTAAGAAATTGGTTGATCGTTGAGAGAAACTGAAGAAAGGGGAAGAGAATGCATGCCACACTCGTCAACTACTCTAGAAACTAGAACCAAGTTGAACAGGTCACAAAAATACAAGTTTGTTGTACTTTTATGAACATACGAAAGTAAATTCTAACAAAATAACAAATATCAACATCAGAAGAAAAATGAAGTAGGCAAACCACATTTGATTGTGTATCAGTTTTGACATCGAGGGTGGCATTGTTGTATCTGTACTGTGCTGCTACATCCCCAAAAGTGAGACCTCCTTTCTTAGCCAAACCCGAGTTAAGGGCCTGAAACTGCAGAGATAAATTCATCACATCTAACTGCTTTAAGCTTTGAAGACTGTTCGCCCCCTAAATTCGCCATGGGCCTTGCATGCATGTTGGGAATTTACTCGAACATGAAACTGGAGGGTGCAGGCGTGCCACTACTAGATGCCGCTAGTAGATGGGATTTGACTGATTGAGATTGCGCCTGAATTCGACTTCTAACCAAAAGATTGTGCCATTGAGTGGAAGTGGCTCAAATCAAGGTTCTTTCTTTGTCTTAAAGATAAGGACTTCACTTATGTGGAGAAATGTAACAATATGTAAATGGCATGTTTCCTAGAAGTGTAAATGACATAGGAAAGTAAATGATTGGTATGGTAGATTGCTTGTAAATTTAATGACTGAAAATGAGTTGTAAAAAACTACAAAGGAGATCGATACTACTAGTGAGCAACAGAGCTAATAAACAAGGAAAGTAAATGAAGCTTGGCTAAAGGTAAATGTCTACAAGGAGATTGAGAAGCTGATTTGAGTAGAGTTGATTGATTGTTTGTTTGAGTGTCCATAATCTTTGTGCCTCTGCTTCTTTATATAGAGATCTGAGAAAGCCCATTGCTGAGAACCCTAAACTTGCCCAAATGAACTCCATTGCTAGCTTGCTTGTGAAATAATATTAAAATAGGCAAGCTTGCATTTCCACCACATGTCTATCTCCCACTTGCAATAAAATAATTAAAAGAAGCAAGTTGGCTTCTTTCACCATATACCCTTTGCCCGAAAGCCTGCGTGGTGCCTTCTCATCCACTTGCAATGAAAAAACATGCATTTGTTTTGATTAAACAAAGCTCTTGACACACCTCCACCATCCAAACAAATGGGAAAAACATTAAATAATGTCAAACTATCTCACTTGATACAACCAAATATCTTCCAAATTAGCCCTCTTGCACAATAATCCTCCAAATGCCATATTGTACCCGAATGACCCAAATAAGTAAAATGGTGCACATTTTAGGTGCAAACAAAGATGATGCGAGTTATCCACTTCAATCAAATCCCATTGCCAAACGAACCCGACATACCAACAAGGTCGCTTGATTTGAGTTAAAGCTTATAATTTCCAAGAACCAGTCCACAAAACTGACAAGAAACGTTTCAAGAAGTCGTTTATAATTGAGTTGAAGACAATGGATTCGGAAAAGGGCAAAAGGAATCCAATTTTTCTACCTCTATGAACTAAGCAAACCAAAATATGCAACTGTGATTATTATGGATTCAATTGCTTCAAATCCAACGCAGCAACTCAAGAACTACCTAAAAAATCCCACCAGCAAACAACTGATAATTCAAATCGTAAAGCACATCATACTACATAGCAATCCAAAAATCCAAAAAAGAAATTTTCCAATAAAAAAAAAAAAAAGTGTTGAAAATAGTATTTGGGCTTACAAGTCCAGTTTCAGTGTAGGTGGTGATGTTGATCTTTTGGTCAGTGCTGTGGTGCTTGTTCAGCAAGTCTGCAAATGTAAACAATACACCAAAAACCCATAACAGAGAATTCAAAATGTAAAACCCTTCGCTAGGATTTTGGGGCTTTCTTGCCAGTAGAGATTCAGAGAGAGAGAGAGAGAGAGGAGAGACCTGTGGATTTCTTGCCAATGGTTGAATGAGGGCAGGGCATTTGGTGGGGCTTTCTTGCCAGTAGAGATTCAGAGAGAGAGAGAGAGGAGAGACCTGTGGATTTCTTGCCAATGGTTGAATGAGGGCAGGGCATTTGGTCGACATATTGTTGGTAGAGAGGATAGAGAAACTTTTAGAAGCTTGTTCTAGAGAGAGAGAGAGAGCCTGAAGTTCATGTAAAACCCTAGAGTTCAGTACTTGCAGAACCAAAAAAAAGGGAGAAAAAGATAAAACAAATTGCTCTCGTTGAGAGTCGAACTCAAGACCTCCCGCTTACTAAACGGGTGCTCTAACCAACTGAGCTACGAGAGCTGTGATGCTTAAGATTCCGTTTCAAATGCATATATTAGTTGTTTATAGTGAAAGAAAAACTAATCCACCGGGGGTGTATTCAATTGGGATTTTGAGGGATTTTAATTCTTTTAATGAATTTAGGGGTATTCAATTAGGATTTTAAGCGATTCTCTGAAATTCAATGTGTATTCAATTAGGATTTTAAGATAGTTTATTAAAATCTTTAGAATTATGGGTGTATTCAATTAGGATTTTAAAGAAGTTTATAACATTTTAGGTATATTCAATTAGAATTTGAATTTAAATAATTTGTAAAAGTTGAGGAATTAGAGGAATTGGAGAGATTTTGCAGTATATTTTAAGCATCCACAAATCTCACCTCTCCCTGTGAGATTTTGAGGGAATTGAATCAAAATTTTACATGGAATCTCTACAAATCAGTTAAACTCCATAAAAATTCATGGATTTATGAATCTATTAAAATCTCCCAAATTCCCAATTGAATACACCCCCTAAATAAATTATTAAGAGATTATATTCACACACCCCAAATTACTTCTCTCACATCATTTTCATTTTTTCTATCAAGTGTTAGTGGTGTGTAGAAAATATTAAAAAATTAAAAAGGTGTGAGAGAAGTAATTTGTGTTGGGTAAATATAATCTCTCTAAATTGTTTTCCTTCCGAGTCAAAAGTCCCGCTTACTAAACAGTAAACACAATGTGCTTCCATTGAGAGTTTAAACACAAAATTAGGAGGAATTCTAATTAACTGCAAAGTCTGCAATTAGCCGAGGTAAAATTTTTGCAGAAGGGCTCTAAATTTTTCCTTTTTAGACACTAATGAAAATCTATCAAATAGACTTTGATATCTTTTGATGGCTTAGCAAACTTTATGGAACGTGTGGCACTCGTTACCAGTTGATTGTGATAGTGGATCCACGTATGGACCAATGTATTCAAATGGCCCAGTTTCTTATAATTATTTCTCATTCATGGTTTATTGTATGTTCTTCTTGAACACAATTGTCACGAGAGCAAAATGTTTGAAAAATGCCTCGCAGAAGTTGGAGTAGAGTAAGAAACCATGAACAACAAGCCAAACTAGTGTACGAAGTTTCATTAACTCGGATAGGAAAAAATTATGAATATACCATTGGTTGAGCATGAAGTATTTATGAAATAGTTTTTAAAACAAGAAAACATGTGTTGCAATATTACCGGTTCATGTTATGAGCCCGAGTTTATCAATTTTGCAGGATGCCTTGTGGATTAGGAGCATTCCTAAGTATATGTTAGAATGTTAGGATGCAGTCCCTCCTTGGCGATCTCCCGTCAGTCTCAATCGAGAAATGATCCTGATCTCCTTTCCACGAACTTTCCTTGAAAAATTCATAATACAAAACCACCCGATCGATCCCTCAACTCATATTTTCCAGAAACACACACAAGCAGCAGCTTAGAGCACCCAAGTCCAGCCACCCGCACCGCCAGATTCTCCATTGGATTGTCAATCCCTCCGGGAGCTGATGGCCGGGTAATCAAAGTCCCAACCTTTATACACCAGAGTCTTATCGAAGTCTTCACCTCTAGGTTCTAACTTGCCTAATTGGTTTGGAACCCCAAAAATAAGGGTGGGACAGAAACGCCAAACAAGCTCTCAACTCGTAGGCTCTGTGCAATATTTCCACCTGCACTATCATCACCTGTGTACAATCTGACCTCCATGGTTGAAAAACCATGGCTCTTTTTTGCTATCTGATTCTTTGGTGCTTGTGTGAGAAGCAACCCATTGAAGAGCCGCCCAGCCATGCATCTTCATAAGCACAAGGAAGTGGGTTCTCTGGGGCAAGTCTCTACTCTAACATAGATAGCTACAACTTTGGCTTCTGAGACCAATCGGTTGAGAGATAAGGGTGGAAAAGAAACGAGAAGGCAGGCA